GGAAAAACGCCACCTGCCGAAGAGGAACTGGGAATGCAGAGGATGCGAAAAGCCAAAAAGCCACCAAAAGCCGCATAAACCAGCAAAAAGCCGAAAAGCCTAGAAGCCCAGAAGCCGAGAAGCCAAGAAGCCGAAAAGCCAAGCCAAGCCAAGAAGCCAAGAAGCCAAGAAGCCAAGAAGCCCAGAAGCCGAGAAGCCGAGAAGCCAAGAAGCCAAGAAGCCGAAAAGCCAAGAAGCCAAGAAGCCGAGAAGCCAAGAAGCCAAGAAGCCAAGAAGCCAAGAAGCCAAGAAGCCAAGAAGCCAAGAAGCCAAAAGCGAAAACAAAAAAAAAAAACGAAAAAAAAAAAAAAAAAAAAAAAAAAAAAAAAAAAAAAAAAAAAAAAAAAAAAAAAAAACCTAAAATAAATACCCCTCCGAAAGACAGAGACAGAGACAGACAGAGACAGTCAGACAGAGACAGAGATAGACAGACACAGACAGACACAAACAGACACAGACAACAGACAGACACAGGCGCAGGCACAGGCACACACAGACACACAGAGACACACACAGACACACACAGACACACAAAGACACACAGAGGCACACAGAGACACACAGAGACACACACAGACACACACAGACACACAAAGACACACAGAGGCACACAGAGACACACAGAGACACACAGGGACACACAGACACACAGAGACACAGACGCAAGACACAGGCACAGGCACAGGCACAGGCACAGACACAGACACAGACACAGACACAGACACAGACGTCGGACACGGACACGGACACGGACACAGGCACAGGCACAGGCACAGGCACAGACACAGGCACAGGCACAGACAAACGAACACACACGAACACACACGAACACACACGAACACACACGAACACACACGAACACACACGAACACACACACACACACACACACACACACACACACACACACACACACACACGCACGCACGCACGCACGCACGCACGCACGCACGCACGCACGCACGCACGCACGCACGCACGCACGCACGCACGCACGCACGCACGCACGCACGCACGCACGCACGCACGCACGCACGCACACGCACGCACGCACGCACGCACGCACGCACGCACGCACGCACGCACGCACGCACGCACGCACGCACGCACGCACGCACGCACGCACGCACGCACGCACGCACGCACGCACGCACGCACGCACGCACGCACGCACGCACGCACGCACGCACGCACGCACGCACGCACGCACGCACGCACGCACGCACCACACACACACACACACACACACACACACACACACACACACACACACACACACACACACGCACGCACGCACGCACGCACGCACGCACGCACGCACGCACGCACGCACGCACGCACGCACGCACGCACGCACGCACGCACGCACGCACGCACGCACGCACGCACGCACGCACGCACGCACGCACGCACGCACGCACGCACGCACGCACGCACGCACGCACGCACGCACGCACGCACACACGCACACACACGCACACACACAAGCCGCTACAAATGTCACACACCTATGTGGCTCACCCTCCAACACACGCCGCGGCCCAAGCAAGACGCAGCTCTCCCTCGAAAGGCCTGCCGCGCGAAAGGCGGCGCTCCAGGCCCGGGCCCTGGCGACCCGGCATGCCTAGCTGCGGAGGGAGGGAAAACCAAGGGGAAACCTGCCATTTTGGGGTTCCCGTGTATTCGGACACACGCAAATTTGGAGAAACCCAAATGCTGCTTTTGGTTGGTCATCTTTTTGGTTGACGCCTCCGCAAGGTGTAGATAGGTACATGATTGTAATCAACACCACACTTTCTAAAATGGGGGGAGGCCCAAAAAATGGGAGTCTTCCTTTTTGCTTCCCTTCATAAACAAACAAACCAAAAGGGGTCCAGCATGGAAAAAGCGGCCGTTTTGGCGGGGCCTCCCTGAGATCTTAAAATCCCAAAGTTGTCTGGTCTATTATGCCCCTAGATAAACCCTTCTTTTCACCGTCCGCATCAGCCCCTTTTAACAGGTTGGTGACCCAGCTCCAGAAAGTCTCTCCAGGAAGTTGGCCAAAGCCAGAAAAACCCCTACCAAACACCATGGTGTTGTGAACCCACTACAACTGTGGGCTAATGTGCCAGAGCTGGTACTCCTGGAGAGGTCAAAGCCAGACTTTGCGTGTCAATCCCTTGCAACAAGGGATATTGATGGCGGTTTCAAGTTGAAAACTTCCTGCAGATTTCCGTGGAGGTCGACCCAAGGCAAGCATCCGGCCAAGGCGCGGAGGGAAGAAGCCCGGCCAGGCCCAGGGGTAGCCGAAGGGAGCCTCCCGGAGCCCAAAAGGAAAACCCCGGCTCAAGCGAATGTGGGAATGAACCCGGAATTGGTCCCCTGCGAGGAAACCACCAGTTGGATGGCTCTAAGGGCCATTCCATTTCTCATTCCCTGCGTCTCGCACCAGACGGTTTAATTGCGGGGGGGGAGGGGGGGGGGACTGGAGGCTGGGGAAAAAAAAAACCAAAGGCGTGGCCATTAAAGGCACGGCCATTAAAGGCGCGGCCACAAACCCCGTAAACAAGGGGTTTTAACCTTTCGTGGCCATGACCCAGGGCCAATCCAAATGGCCAACTTGTGGGTCAGAGGCCGTTCCATCTCTGTCTCTGTATCTACAACTCCCAAACTCAAACCTGGCATGGGCGACCAACAAAGATCAACAAAACGCTAGCTTGCTTTCCCTCATGGCCTCTGAGCAACCGAACGGGAGCCCCATATGAATTAACCTCGTGTGCAACTGCACTGCACCCCCAGATCAAAGGTGCGCGCCCTTAGTCGCTTAATCCCTTTGTCACGTTGGTTTTTGTGTGGGTTTCTGCAGGGCCGGGGCCAATACCCAAGCTCCTGATGATTAAATTCGCTGACACACCCTCGAGTTGAGGGGCCTCCCTGCTTCTTGTGACTCATTCGAAGGTATTCTGGGTGTTTGTTTGCCATCCAATTGGCAAAGCTCTGTGTGGGTGTGCCTTTCCTTTTGGGGAGCTCCCTTTTTAGCGGGTTTACGGGAAACCAAACGGAAGCCACCTTATTCGTTGTTTGGGATGGGCCCCCCCAAAAATGACACACCCACCCAATCTGAGCAAAAGTCAGCGACCTCGCAGAAGTTGTGTTTCTGTTCTAAACCTGCTCGCCCATGAAGGTCTTTCAATTCCGATCGCATTTGTGAGGGAGCCGAAGCCGAACAAGCAACATAAAGCACCAAAGTGGTCCCCCACAACCGGGATCAAAGAGGCGCCCCTTTGAGCTCAAAATGCAAGCAACAAAAGAAGCCCCGCCCGCCTGCATTGGCATGCCCATCCCGGGCATCCCGGGCATCCCGGGCATGCCCGGAACAGTGCCGGCCTTGAGGTCGCCCTGAAGCACAAAGAAAGACAGTCAAACCACTTCTCCCAGGGCCCTAATCAGAGATGCATATCTTCAAGGGAAAATTCGCCCCATGCCCAGGTGTTCAAATTCGCGCCTGGGGGTTCATGCCCATGCCCATGCCCATGCCGGGCATGCCGGGCATGCCGGGCATGCCGGGCATGGGCCACGGAAAGCCTGCAGATCAGAGATGTCCGTTGGGCAAATAAGATGGGGGCGGGGTGTCAAAACACAAACGGATTTCGGCGTCCTGTTTCCCTTTTGAGTCGGGCAACAAGGGTTTTCCCTTTGGTGTCCCTTTTGCAGCGCATTCTCAACAGAGCAGACCCTGATTGGATCCACGTCTGAAGAACTAGAACAACAACAACAAACGCCCAGGTGGCATCCCCAACAGCAACTTCTAGAACCCTTGCCGAACCCCAGCACAGACCCGCTCCGAACCGCTCTGGGCAGAGGCCCCAAAGCTATCAACTGTTGGTGAAAAAATCCGTGGAACCCATCTCTTTTCAAGCGGCCTGGCTGGGTCATGGGATCTGTGAGCAAGTCACACTGCACCCCCACATCCACTGGGATGTTCACCTGGCACGTTGCTCTGGTCACAGCAGCGCCAGGGCAGCAGGGCAGCAAGACAGGGCTGGGTGCAAAACACCGGTAGGAGCCGTCCTTGGATCCTTGGGCTACCTGGCTCCCTAGAAGGAAACGGCAAACGCCTGTCACCCACCTTCACTTGTCAGCATTCAGGGAACGACCTGTGAAGAGGGTCTGGCATGAAATGCGCACAAAGACTTCAACGGCATGACCGCCCGCGCTCCCCACCTGATAGATCCCTAAGAGGTCGTGACCACTTGTCTATCTAGTACGGGCCTTTCTTGCCAACAAGGAGGTGGCAAAAGACACATCACATATCCTCACAGAACTACAACAAACAAACATGGATTCTCAGAAACGCCCTTTCTTTGAATAGAAATCGGCCAAAACCGGAAAGGACGCAAGAGCCGGCTGTGTCTCGTCCAGGCAAATAAGATGAGGAACCATGAAGTGTGCCCCGGGCTGCTTAGAAAGAAAAACGATCGCTTTCGCCTGCACATCCACATCGCAAGTGGGCCGCCGCGGTCGGTAGTCCTCGGCATGCTGTCGAACGGAAGTTGGTCTGCATCCTTTGCTTTAAAAAAAAGTGAACACCCTTGCCAGAAGTGATGGTTCCCCGTTTTAGGAGCTAGGGCAATTGCCATTCCAAAAAGTTTGAAGATGGGTCAAGCCAAGAAGCAATCGCGGCGAATGGAACTTCATGTCCCCAGAAACCCCCAGGCGCAACAGCCAAAACCCACCGCAAAGTACATGCGATTCTCACCCGTAGGGAAGCCGAACAGATGCGCATGTGATCTATTCTTAGTGAATCAAACTCAATGACGATCTTCCGAATTGCTATTTTAACTCAAAACCCACAAACTCCCCAAATCCTCCATGAACTGATTGTGTTCCTGGCGCATTCGGATTTGATACGCTGGTTGAGTCCCACTTGTGCCATTAGGGTCCCGAAGAATGTTTCCAGTCATCTGCCCAAGGTCCAACCAAGCCACGTCATCCGGCGCTGCCCACACGGTCCTGGTGCGTGAAAAGGCTGTCTGCTCTGAGCTTACCGGGTCATGTCCGAACACGCATCTCCCCCACGTGTCGCTGCCTTGATCTCTCTGCAGGAAACCTCGTGCAAACCAACTGTGTGTCAAACTTCTTTCACCCGTTACCCCCAGCCCAAACAACCGAGCAAAGGGCACCTCGGCGGCGGCGCTGTCGCAGCTGCTGCTTGCACCGCTGGTGTGCTCACGGCAGCTGCCGGTGCCTGTGGAAGCGTGGGGGATGGCGCCCGCTGGGATGGCGCGGCGGGCGTCGCTGGCGGAGCCGAAGCTGCCTGAGGCGCGGCTGCAACCTTTGCCGCAGGCGATGGCGCCGGCGCTGCCGTTGATGGCATGGCCGGTGCTGTGGCCAAGGCCGAGGCCAAGGCAGGCGCTGCAGGCACGGGCGCAGGCGCCGGCACTGGTGCTGGAGCTGTGGGCTTGGCAGGCGTGGCTGCGGGAGTGACGGCCGAGACGGTCGCTGAAGCAAGCGCTGGGGTGGCTGTTGAGGTGGCTGCTGGGGCCGGGGCGGCCACACGGGCCGGGGCGGCCGCTGCCGTTGGCGCTGCCACTGCCGTTGGCGCTGCCACTGCCGTTGGCGCTGCCACTGCCGTTGGCGCTGCCACTGCCGTTGGCGCGGCTGCTGCTGCTGGGGCGGCAGCTGGAGGGGCGCTGGCACTTCCACTGACGCTGCTTGAGGCCTGCCATGCCACGTGGCAAGTGACTGAACAAGTGCCGGATTGCCGAGCGCTCCTCCTGATGCTTAAGCAAAGCAAAGGCAAAGTAAGACCTGAAGCAGAGCTTCGAGCAGGCACAAACGGATTCGCAGCCGTTATTGCTCTTCGACTCTCAGCTAAGCGGGCCAAAGGCACCAGCTCCCGTAGCTCAGAAACAAGTCGCGGCTCTCTGTGCCCCAAATTCCAGGAAGTATGGGACCAATGGACCCTTCGCGCTTTAAGCTTACCCTAGTGTTTCATGTGTTTCCGTGTTGGGCTCACTCTGGACTGGGTCCAATTTCAAGGGGCACGTTCAACTTGCAGAAACAAGAACCATGAAACCAGGTACCAGGTAGCGGGTTCTCGGGAGCTCATTTGAGGGCCCCCGAACTGTCGATCGTCCCACCAGCCTCGAAGTCATCCTCGTAATTGGCCGAGGGCCTCCTCAGGCTGGCGCTGTCGGCGGTGAAATCCTGCCAGGGCCCAATGGTCGGGCTCCATTTGGGAAACGCCACTTGGCGCGGCCGAACGAAAGGCGTCCCAGAAGAAAAGAGACCTGTTTAACCCAACCACAGGTCGACACCCCATTCCTAACATACCGAAATTCCGCTCCCGGTCCTTCTGGGTGACTTGAATGGTTGGGTGTCCTTCCCATGTAGCTTCAGTACCGACGGGCCAATCCAAACCGCAGAATAACAATGAGGCCTATCTGATTTGAAGTCCGAGCGCCTGAAAACACATTCCAAAGTTCTCGCATTTGCCCGGCCCTGACCTCTCTCACCCCGTCCTCCGCATAAGTGTCCGCTGATCTGGGGGTCTCCGGCGGCGCCTGCGCCGCAAGGTCGCTAGAAGCCCCAGCGGTGCCCAGGATTTGTGCAGCCCGCCACACAAGACATTTAGTAGCTGGTTCTGAAGAAGCCTCCGTAGCACCCAGGACTTCCACAGGGGTCACTGTTTCCCATCGCCAAGCCCATCCTTCACCACCACATTTTGCGGACCAGGGTGATTTATCCAGTTCACCGCGCGCGCGTCAGCAACAGCTGTGGCTGGCAGCTTGCTTGGAGGGACCCTTGGTGACATTCCTTGCGTTGAACCTTCGGGTTGCCCAAATGGGGCCACACTACAAATTTGGAAGTGCCATTGACTTTGAGAACATCCGCATGCATCAGGAGCCGTGAGCCGATTCCACTCGATACGGCGAACTCCATACTCACCCCGCCTTCGACGTCGCTCTGGGAACGCTTAGGCCTTGAATGCCACCTGCAACGCTTCCCTTAAAACTCGGGGTCCCGACGTCCATGTTGGGTAGGGGGAAAGGGCTCCTGAATGAAGAGGCCGAGGTCAAAAACATGTCACCAATGGTTGTTTCCGCCTGGGAGGGAACCGGCACCACCAGACCCAGGCCAGCACCCCCCAGCATGCCAAGGCGCTCGCTCCCGGCAGGTCGCTGAGCGGGCGGATGTTGGCCAAGGGCTTCCGCGGCGCACTGGCGCTGGACGCCCTCGACGACCGGCTCAGGCTCTGGCTGGGCGACCGGGACAGGGACCGGGACCCCGAGCGCACCGAGGGCGCAGAACGCGCGGAGCGGACCGAGGGCACGGAGCCGGACCGCGGGGAGGCAGACCGCGAGGCTGAGCCCCTGGAGGGCGAGCCGTGGGAGGGCGAGTTGTGGGAGCGGGACTCGCGGCCGTCGCGGCCGTGGCTCTGTGACCGGGGAGTGGCGGAGGGGGAGTGGGAGCTGACGCTCCTCACCTTCTCGCTCCTCTCGCTCTTCTGGGCGGCGAAGGCCGACATTTTCGCTGGGGATCGGGTGATCACGCCCTTCGACGGTGACGACGGGGAGGGCGACGGCGATGGTGAAGGCTGGCTCAGCGGCTTTGGCTTCGCGCTCGCCTTCGGCCTTGCCTCGTCGGAGTCGCTCTCCTGCGGGCAGGTGGGGATGGGACAGCCCTTTAAAGCAGCGGCAGGTTTCTGTCCCTTTCCCTTCGGTTCCTGGAAATAAAAACATACATTCGGGCATTCGCACAAATTGCTTGCCATATTCCGGGCTGCGACTTTTCAGAAGGGCCTTCGGAGCTTTGTTGGGACACCGCTTCACTTCGGCCGACAAGTAAACCCCGCATGAGGCCAGCGAGAAAAAAAAAAAAAAAAAACATCAGGTATGGCTGGGAACCCCCCGTCCGCGCCCCTGGTCCTCCAAGAATGCCTGGAAGTCCGCGGTTTTGCTCACCTTCGCGGCTGGCCCCTTGTTGGCCAGGAGCCTGGCGCGTTTTTGTTCCCACCCGAGGGCCAAGACTCATTTTGTTTGGGCTTGCGCATACCAGCAACAGGCCCAAAACCCTGTCCTCTCCATGCGGTCATCCAGGCCACCGTCCAGCGCTGTTTTGCGCACAGTGCCTGGGCTGGAGCACAGGAGCACAGGAGCCTAGGTCAAGGGTCAAAGGGGAACAATGTTCACCTACCTCAGAAGCAAGCGGGATAGAAGCCCGGGCTTCCATGTTTGAAGCCACTGGACAACGGCAAATGAGCATTGAACATTTTGTCTTGGATAAGTCGCGCCCTCTTTGAACGAAGGTGCCAATTGTTGCCTGCTTTGTTTTGGTTGTGGCAACTGGCACTGGGAATCATCGGCAATGGCACAGTGTTTCCAAACTCGGATTCATGTATGTGGGTACAGAGGTGGCAGTCGGTAGGAGCACTATTGCAAAGGCCAAGCATGCCACGTGCGCTCACGCGTGTTCCAAGGTGAGCCCTGCCAAGAAACCTAGCTACCTCACCCCCACTGTGTGAATGGGAATTTAGTGGAAAGAAGGAGCCCTCACTAACATGGGCTACCCCTTGGTCAACAAAGGTGAATGGGGTTTGCCTTTAAGAGCCACGAAAATCACAGGTCCTAGGCAGACTCAATGCTTTGAACAGGTAGGCAGATTCAATGCTGCTTTGATGGTCGGGAGCTCGTTTCATCACGCCCGGTCCGGGCGAAATCTTGTCCTGCGCGAAACAATGGCATCTACCCTGCCTTGCACCGAAGTGGCGGTGTGGCCAATGTCGATTGGAGGACCCTCCCTCCCCGTCCGTAGGGCCTACTAAAGCTAGCACTGAGTCTTGCTTGACGTTGCAAAGGGGGCAAAAATTTGAATTTTGCAGTTAAGTGGGGTATCCCACTAAACCGCAATAAGCAAAGATGCAAAACGCTTCCCAACAACAAACATGGAGGGGGGTGGGCGCTGCTCCCGCGCCTGTACTCGCCTTTGCGGCCACCTTCGCCCCGGCCGCCTTGGCCCCCGCGGCCGCCTTCGCTTTCGCCGCCACTTTGGGCGCCCTCGGTCGGGAGGCAGGTAGTGGGTGGACTTCACATGGGGCCGAACAGAAGCGCAACATAGCGCAACCAGTTGAGGAACCGACTTCAAAGTGAACACGCAGTCATGGAGAAGGCCACCTTGGCATCACAGATTGATGTTATTTCCGCAACCATGAACATCCTAGCACCACGCGGCTGCTGGCGTTGGTGGCTTGGGGATTTGATTTATTGTGATTCAAAGCCATTGAAGCCCAGTCGTCCACAATGAGGCTGCTCCAGCCTCAAGCACCAGGGGCCAAAGGGGTCAAGATTGGGCAATGCCTTTCAGAGGGCTCATCACGTGCCTCCGCAGTAGGTAACCTTGATATACCCTTTTACAATCTTTTACATGCCCACTAGCCAGGACTTAGCGTGCACAAACCCGCCAAGGGGCCGCGAAAGTCTGCAACGTTCACCTGGCCCTGCTTCCAACACCAGCTGGCCAGCTGGGTGCCAAAAACGGCGGCCAAATGCGTTTGCTCAACAAAAAGGAGCCCTATCGCAAACAAAACTGGCAATTCCCATCTTTGCTTTCTTCACAGGAGACGTGTGGCAGAAAGTTGGTCTGGGTGCCCAGCGTGGCCGGCTTGGCTGAAGACCGTGTGCCTGCTGCAACAAACCCTGGCTGGGCTAAGGCCGTTTGCCCCACCAAGGGAATCATATGACTCATGGAACCAACCTTTACTCACAGAACGATCTCTTGCAAGAAATGGCATTCAATCCACACCCCTTGCTGAGTGTCCCACCGCCCCGTCCAAACCGCCCTCAAGCTTACTTCAACATGCTTCAGAAAAGTTCGAGGTGCCTTCTCAAGGCCGAGCGAGTGATGAAAACCTGCCAAGCCCCAAGGTTTCAACGAGCAAGACCCCGATGCCAAGACACTACCATGTCCTCACAAGGCTGCCGATTTTACAGGGCAACCCCCTTTAAAAAAAAAGGAGCAATGGCAGCAGACGCGCCTCCGAGGCCTTCCGCCTTGTACGGCGTGGCGCTCAGGTCCAAGGGGAAGGAGTAGCTGTCCCCGTGCGGGTCCCCCCCGAAGTCCCCGCCTTCGCGCGGGAGAATTCGTGGGGAGTCGGCGCGGGAGAACTCGCATTGGGACCCCCGCCGAATGGCTCGGACGCCCCAAAGGCGCCAAATGCGATGCGCTGGGACTTTAGTGCCCCAAAAGATGCCTACACGCGCTCATCTACTCGCGAGCTCTAGTGGGCGCGACCAGCAAGCCAAAGTCCACAACCCGATTCAAAGCACAATGGCAAACAAGTGGTTTCAATTCAGATATTTAGCCACAGTTACAACTGGCTAAACTGTTGGACAAAATCCTGGCCCCTTTTGGGAAGGACCCGCCCTCACACCCAACGAGCGCAGTTGCAGTAAGACCGCAAAAGGGCAAGCTGAGCATTGAGGAAACTTTGTGCTTTGTGACTGAGCCTCTGCAGGTCATTGGAGATGGGGAAACATGACGCTGTTCTAAATCAAAACTGAGACAGATCAGGAAAGGACCGACACCGCTGTCATACCATTGCCACTGCCCTCCGGCCCATAGCTCCAACTCCGCCCACCAAACTCAGCCCGGGCCGCGCCTCCTCGCCTCGGACGTGTTTGGCAGTGGGAGGTGCCCTTGAGAGCGTACCACAAAAACCGACAGCTCCAACACTTGTCCTAGTCGCTCGCACTCCCTTTCACCCGCCCTTTTGCATTTGCACGAGTAGTCGTTGTTGTAATCGTTGTTGTTGCTATCCATATCCAGGGAAAAGTGTCTGGTACCTTCCAAGCACGTACCCCCCCCCCCCACCACCACTGGCACTATGTTCACCCGTTTGGTGCGCCCACATGACATTAAATTCAGGCGAGCCACCCCGATATTCACAAGTGAGAAGCAAGACAGTGCTCATTTAGAAACTCTTGCTTATTCTCAGGAAGGTACATGCTCAATGAACCTACCATTCCATACAAATCCGTCTCCGATTGGCAAACGGTAATTCCTACATTCCCTAAGGTCAAACAAGAAACGCAGGAACGTCTGCTCGCCCTCATAGGCTCATAGGTGACCGAGGCTGCTATACCACTCTCTCCAGCACAGTGCGATTTGTTGGAAACCAAATCGAACCAGCTTGCAATTTGCATCATGTCTGCCTGAGGTTTCTGCGCCGTCTTGGACACAACTACCTTTTCAGTCAAGCCTGAATAAAAAGCAGAACCCCGCAGCCTTGTCTGTTAGCCGTTCACCGTTCACCGCCTCGTAGCCCCCAACCCCCCCCCCCGTGCCCAGGCCAAGAGAAAGGAGCGGCTTTTCTGCCGCCCCACCTTTTTTGCCGGTGGACAAGCCTCCACCCACCCACCCACCCACCCCTAACAAAGCAAGGCCCGCACCTTGCATCGCCTGGCCGAGCGAGGCATGCCCGTGCACGGACCCTGGATCCCCACAGAAATGCATTGACTTGGGCCCTTGCGTAGTTCCGCCAGCTCAGGATACCCCTCTGAATGGCTACTTTCCTCTGCGCTTCCTTTTGCCCAGGCCACCCGAGTTGCGGACCCACCGGTCTGGAAGAGAGGTTGCAGAAGAAACAAAAAAATAGAGGACCGTGAGCCACGCACGGATTTGTTTGATCTATCATTGCGCAAGCAAGGCCGCCTGCACCAAACTTGCGACGCGCCTTTGCTGGGAGGCAAGAAGCAAAACGGAAAAGCATCCATGCCTTGTCAAATTATGAACCGGACTGCAATTGCTTGTGCCACACGCCACCCATCCATCATTGCAACCCCTTGCCCAGAACCGAAGCGAAATGAGTCTGACAGCGGCATCATCAACATGGATTGCAAGAAGCACGCCTCACCCTTGGCAGCAAGTGGCGGTTCCCCAAGGAAGTCATGGCCAAATCAAGCCCCATCCCTCCCACAAAGCCTTGCTTGCTCATCCAATTTGTGCTGCTGGTTGATCTTCATTGGGCCAACATCCAAGTAACAATGCGGTCTGAACAGTCCCGTCCCATGCCCTGAAGCTTCTGTTTGTCTCACCTCCTGGGGGCCGCTCATGCGCAGCTCAGCCATGCTCCTCTTGCGTGTCTTGACGCGACTTCTACAGGCGCTGACCAATCCTACTGTCAAACTAGGTTGCCGGCACCCCACGTGCCAACCCGGTAACCCAACCAGGACCCTTACTGCTAGAAATCAACACAGGACCAGTAACGGGTGCAAGTCCAGAAGCCTCTCTTCCAAAAACCGGAAAAAAGGGGCGAACTTTGTCTGGCCGTGTTGGCTCCCCCCTCCCAAATTCCCCTCTGGAATCCGGGAGTTGGATTCGAATCCGGCGACTCAGACCCCAGATCCACAGATCTCGCCCGAATCCGGCGACTCAGACCCCAGATCCACAGATCTCGCCTCCGAAGACGGAGCGGCCTAAACCAATCTCCACGGAAGAGCCGCTCTCCTCGCCGATGTCGACACATCGCCGGCGCAGCCAAGGGCACCAAAAAAAAACACGAGCGCCTGGGGGTTGCTGAAGCCCTCAAAATCCTAGGACTTTGACTTTAGGGGTGACCTGGGCATCTTCGTAGAGGGTCACTTTTCACCCTGGAAGAAAACCTTCCGGCTCGGGTTGGTTCGCCTTTATTCTGCGGGCAGAGAAGGGTTTTGGTCGGCGTTCTGGATGACGGCTAGTTCTTTTCGTAGTTAATCGACTGAAGCCCCCAAAAACCACGGACAGAAAGATCACACCGGCCTTGGCAAGAGGGAAGGGCCTGTCTTGTCGAAGATGTGTTACAAAAGCCACAAGGCACCAAGGAGATCACCTCGGAAATCGCTTGGGGCGTTGGTGGCCTTCGGATGGCAAAGGCTTGAACCCGCCGGTTGGGACCGGTTGACAGGCTTGGGTACAGGCTGAGGTGTCTGGGTCTGGGAAAAAACTCTGCTTCTCTGTGATGATTGGTTTCGGAAGAAGGCTGGTGAGACGGGCGAACGGGACCCCTTGGCCTTCCAGCGCCCCCAAGCCCACAGGAAGTCCAGCGACAAGTCATCATCGGACTGCATGATGGATCTTGTCGTCACAGGCATGGCTCCCCGTCCCTTCGAAAGCACCCTGTCCAGGTGCCGAGGGATGGACCGAGTGACCAAAAGCCCAACGCTATCACCAAAGACGGCTCCTCTGTAAAGTCACACAGAGCCACTAGGCCTTACTATGTTACTTATTCCAGGTGGCTCGCTGAGCAGGGTTTTACAATGGCTGCCATTGTGCATGGAACCGCTCTAAAGCCAGAGTGCACCAGCACTCGGCTACGCCTCTGTCAGACTCTCACTTTCCCGAAAGCCCCGGGCTTTCGGCGAAACCCAATGAATTCAGTGCAAGCTGAGAGCCAAAAAGTAGAGCATGGCATACTTCTCGGAACCTCGAAGATCCTCCCCAGAAGGAAAAAGCTGTCTTTAGCGCCATTAGTCCCTCAACCAAAGACTCTTTGTGGAGGGTGCCTAGTTTTGACACATGCTCCCAATTCAGCCAGCACCCACAAACTACGTCAGCTGACCTGAGGTCATCTTTCCTGGGAAACTTCGACGGGAAGAACCCAGGAGCAGCTCAGGGCTAAACGGACTCAGAACTTGGAAGAGCCACCAGGTGCTGCGAAACAAACCTCGTCTTCACCTCGGGTGGTCTATTTTTTGGTGACCGTGGTTCAGATTGGTGGTTAAAGCCTTGGTGGATTTCCACGAGTCAATCGGGGGGCGCCTGAACTAGCATCTAAATGCAGGCGGCAATCGCTGGCTAAAGAGCCGGTGATGGCCGGTGCAAATGTCCATCTATCATTGGTGTCCTTTGGTTTTCCACCAGGCACCAGCCACAAAAGGTGTCCTTGTCCGATGTTTTCAGGTGTGCGCTTTATGATTTATTTTTTTCAGGTGGTACCCTTCTTGTGGGTAGTTTCAGCCACCAAAAGGTTTCCCGCAGGTTCCGGGGGCCCTTCAATGCTTGGAACACGTTGGAGCTTCTCAAAACGGTGGACCCACTTTTGGTAGGTAAAGAATGGCCACCCACACATCCCAACTCGCCACTTTGGACGTCTGCCCATCGCCAGCGCGCATGTTCTCGAAGGCACTCGTCGAGGCCGCCGCGCCGCGCCAAAGATTTGCCGGGCCCAGAGACATTGAGGATGGGTCGGCTCCTTTTCGTTCTGACGGTTAGGGTGGACGGTCTTTCCGAAACCGCCTTGAAAGCGTATCCGTCTTTCTTTGCCGAAACCAGAAAAGACTTCCGCAAATCGCCCAACGGAGTGTTTACCAATAAGGATCCCTACAAGGGTTCTGGCAAGGTTCATTGGAGCTAAGATCGTGTTCAACCTCAAACCTGGGATTTTGGGGATCGTCAATCCCGCTGAGACCCTGGAAGAGGCCACGCTGCATCTCCGAACCCAGCATCTTGCGGAAACCCAAGCTGAATCAAACCCAGCCCCGAAGGGTCTGCAGAGCGTTTCTGGTGGCCACCCCCTTTCGCCTCTAAGCCAGGCAGGCGTGGCGGCTTCTGTGACCCCTGCCCCGGCTCATCGCTCGCATGCGCGATAGCGCGGCCTGGCTGGAGCTGGCACGCGCCCTCTCAATATCCCAGCTGGCTTCTCGAATTGGGCGGGCAATCACGCATCATCTTCGAGCATGAAGAGGAAGGCTGACGTATAACAATTTCGAACATCTTCGCACAATCATGGATGCATGTCAGACCACAAGTGACTAAAAGACTGACGTACAACCGCTCGCGACCACACACACGCACAAACCAACCAACCAACCAACCAACCAAACAAACAAACAAGCAAACAAGCAAGCAAGCAAACAAACAAACAAACAAACACGCAAGCAAACAAACAAGCAAGCAAACAAAACACAACAAAACAAAACACAACAAAACAAAACCAACAAACAAACAAACAAACAAAACAAACAAACAAAGAAAGAAACAAAGAAACAAACAAACAAACAAACAAACAAACAAACAAACAAACAAACAAACAAACAAACAAACAAACAAACAAACAAACACACAAACAAACAAATCAAACAAAACAAACAAACAAAACAATCAAACAAACAAACAAACAAACAAACAAACAAACAAACAAACACACACACACAAACAAACAAACAAACAAACAAACAAACAAACAAACAAACCAAAACCCAAACACAAACACAAACACAAACACAAACACAAAACGCACGCACACACGCACACGCACACGCACACACACACACACACACAGGCTGCAAACATGGCACCTGCACGCTGCTACGTGTGCTATCTAACTCTGCCGCCAAGGGAGGGGGCAAGAACATGTGTGTTAGGGGCCTCTTTGATGGCCATCATTTTAGGTGGGGATTCATGTCCACCAAACACCGTTGACGTGGTTCCCTCTCAACAAGTATAACCAAACGGGATGTGTAATTTGAATGATCTCCCCTGTGCGGATCAAGTCGGTAGCATCAACTGCACAGACAACTACGTCCACCTGGGCATGTCAAACAAGCATGGACGCCTGAGACTATGGTTCTCCTGTCGGTTGCCTTTTAACCCAAAGTGGAAAAAAGCACCCTCAGACCGATAGGAAAAACAACTCCCACCTACCTGCATGCAAAAGCCAGACCGCCCTCCAGCGCGAGCCTCAAATGCAGTAGGACGGCTTCTCTGGGAAGGTGCAGCCGGAGTGCTGGATCACCGTGCCCGCGGCGTAGCTACCCGCCTGCTTCATCAAAACGTCTGGTGGGGCCCATGTTGATTTCCTTTTCTTAGTGGACCCTCCCAATAAAAAAAACAAAGAAGTGGCTTTCCTGTTGGTTTCCCTTTGAAACCACAAACACATGGTACCCTCGAAAACAGACACGTTGAGCCGCTTTACTCACAATGTTATTTTCGCCTCCAGACCTGATCAATTCTGTTTAAATATAGGGCAAGGGTCGAACACACGAGCTTCGTACAACCGTCGCCCTTCATCTTAGGATCAGCCCCTCTTCTGCCAACATCATTCCAGCAAGGGGAAAAAAGGCAGGAGGCTACCAAGTTACCACACTCTTCTTCATGACTCTCCCGGCTGCCGAGACCCTCCCAACCCTCCCCTGGTAACACCCCAGACCCCTCCTGGCAGCAGGCACCCAGCGCCCGGCCCTTGGACACAGCCGCCAGGAAGCCCCCGACGAAGGCGTCCCCGGCGCCGTTGGTGTCAACAATCCTCGGCCGTCCCCAACTGGGTGTGGCTCACAAATACATGTGGCAAAATGGCACCTTGGTAAACGGAACCAAAAACGCAAACCTGCGTAACCCTTGTTCTTTAATTTTGAGCCGCAGCCAACTGCCCCTGGAACCCTCCGGAACCCTCCCTGAGACTCAGGGTTTCTTGGAGCAGAGACCCCAAGCTTTCAGGGAGAAGGACGGTGTTCCGAGCGAGATGTTCCACCCCAAACAACTTCACCCCTACCCAAGGCAACTCACCCTAAAACAAGAAGGTGATGTTAGGAAAAAAGCAAAAGAGGGAAATAGAGCTGCAAAATCAGGGCACAAAACTAGCGGACCACGCCCAGTGCTAGGCTTGGGAATGACACATGCTGACTGCGTCGGAGTGCACAAAGGCCAACATGCGGCATGCTATGAAGTGGTCAGTCACATGCAGCAAGAACCCTCAGCCCCAGCCAGCCTCTCAACCCACCCACGGCGCCCGCCTGCTTGCACACATGGAATGAACCCCCAAAAGTGTTCACGTGTGCAGTTGCCATGGGTCAAAATTCCGTACCCCGAGTGAACATCCCAATCCCCACTAAAGTAGGCTAAATGGGTGCTGCCCCTACCCCAAAATGGTATCTTATTGGTTTTGACAACCACAGCCAGCTCTTTTCACTACGTGTCTCAAGCAACCGGGACCGACCTTGAGCCGTCTCTTCCACCCCACCCCAAGCGAGCGGCAGCTCGGGCGCCAAAGTTTGCACCTCGTGCAGCGTCACCGCCCCGCGGCGCGCCACAACCGTGGGCTCCGCGCCTGCACGTTTCCGAGATTCATCTCGGGGGCTCGGCGGCGCTGTGGGATGCCCGCCCCACAAAAAACGGGAAAATTCTGTGGATGGGGGACATCCTGCACCACCTAAGAAACCCTGGCATGATGATTTTCTTGACAATACCATCGAACAATGGTCCCCCACGGTTGCAAAGTGGTCGGCGGGATGCGACGGAGGCGGGGCTGAGCCCCAACATGGGCCAGGAGTTTGGCAGGATGCGATTTGATGGACATGCTGCAGAAAGAAAACAAAAGGAACCAATCCAAGACATGACAAGTCAACCCCCCGGACTCCTTGTGCAAGCCGTCGCCAATCGCGCGCCTTGGGTGATGACCACGTGCCTCGGGGGCTTCTTGCCGGCCATGGGCACCAAAGACCTCGGATTCGGTTTGGGTTTCAGGGCTGTGGGAAATGCCCACTGTGATATCACACAAAGGGCTTCCCAAAGACTAACCCCCCCACATAAAGGCAAACAACTTCCCTTTTTTGTCACAGGAGTGGGGACAAGCTCCTTGATCCCACAGCCCTGGTCTTCTTCTTGCCTTTTGCCTCTCCCCTAACATCCCTGTGGCTTGCAGGGCACACACTCCGTCCCCCCCAAAGCGGCGCTTCGCTTGAGCATCCGGCAGGCGCGTGGCAATGAAGGCCACATCTGCCGTATCCCAGCCCACCGCCGTGGCATAGGCTCTGGCCTCCTGGCGGTGCGGCGTCACGGGTGAGCTTCACATGGGCTGCGTCTCAAAGACGGACCCTAACACCGCGGCACACTGCGGTGTTCCTCTTTGGGCATCCCTTTAACAAAGAAGAAACCAACCTCAAGAAGGGTACCTTTGAAAATAAGTCAAAATGGTGAGAACACCCCCTTGAAGCAACCACCAAAAAGAGCACTGGCAAAAACAGGGGCGGGGCCCAGAACAGTTCGCTTCCTTTTGGCGTCCCTTTAACCCCTCATCCAGTATGGGAAGCTCAGAACAATGTTATCCCTGCGTTCCCGACTCTACAGTGAACAACCCTCCCAGCCCTCGCACCATCCATCAGGATACAAAATGGCTGCTGGATTTGTTCCACTTGTGGCAGGCTCGCGGACCATTGCCTATTGGACCTATCTCTTTCAGCTCGTCCCCAAAGAAACAGAAGACACACGCGGGGCTTCGGAACCGGTTCCGCGCCGTCTCATTGCCGAAGAGGTAGTCCACGTGGGGCAGCGCCTTCTCCAGCACTGAGCGGAAGACAGGCACCTTCGACGAGTCTAGCGAACTTATGAACCACCCCCCCCCAACCCACCCCACCCCCCCAACCCTCCCCCAAGTGTGAGGAGCCTCCTTTTGGGCGACCCTTCGGGCCTCACGCTACTTTTTTCGGGGCATCTGTCGGATCTTGTAACTTGGCTTCGGCTCCTTGACGCACAACTCTGGCCCTAGGCCGAGATTTCCCCAGGCCGAAAGTGTCGGCGCCCTGCCATAAAACTCCACTCATTTATTGCAGAAGGCAGCCTTCGTTCCAGAAGGATCTCTCTAGGACCCTGCTTACCCTGAATGGGGGGGGGACCCAAAAACTGTCGGGACAAATGTGGTCACTCTTGATCGTTTCTTCGCAACGTTGACTACGCTTCGAGGATTGATACACCTGGAGTTGGTTCATGCATGACATGGACTCCAAAAAGAGGTCCATCAAGAGGAAATTCCTCTGCAAGTAGCGGCATTTTGGGTTCCATGTCAACCTGTAAGGGGCTGACTCCCAAACCATCTGACAGGATGAATCTAACCGAGCCGCGCCTCCACAATGAAGGCTGCCGAGAGGTTTAGACAATAGAGGCCCCCCGACATCTCTGCCACCTCACGCGAAGAGCGACAAGCGTATCAATGTCAACTTGGGCTGACTTACTCTCATGCACATATCACCTTGTCATAAACAACATAGTCCAAATTAAGTTGAACAGCTGACGGGAAACTGCTCCGATGCATTCATTTTGAAGAGGACCTGTTGTCGGGCTCACCCATGACCGACAAGCTTTGGGGCTTGCATGCTGGTGAGTGCATCAGGGGTGAAAAGCAGGGACCCCTACAAATGGCTGTTTTGCTTTTTGGAAGAAGGCCCTTTGGCCCATCCCATCTTGCCACAGCCAGCCTCAACGGCCGAATTTGGATACCAGCGACATGGCTGGGACTTTAGCCAACTCAAGAAGACCTTCGCCTTCCATTCTCTGGTCATGGGGCACCTGGTGGTCATTTTGCAATTGGCTGTCACCCCACCAGAAATATCCAAAGGATAGCTGTTCGTCAAGACTTAGGGCACGTTTTGGGAGGGTGTTTGATGGACTGAACATTTTGAAGGGCTCAAATTTGCCCGGGTGCCCCGTTAAAAAGAAAAAGACGCCAGTAATTAGTCTTAAGGACTTCGCTTTCGTGGATCGAGGCTGAAGGGAAACCAACATGAACCCCCATCCCCAGCGCAGCCTTGCAGGCCAGCTCGATGGATTCGGGGGACACGGTGATAAAGAAACCCGCGCTGTAGACCTCAATTTGCCAAATCCAAAAAGCGAACGCCGAAAAACTTGCCTTTGTTTGTTCTCTTGCTCGCTCGCTCGCTCGCTTGCTTGATTGCTTGCATGCATGCATGCAAGCATGCTTGCTTGCTCGCTCGTTTGTTCACTTGATTGCTTGCTTGTTTGAAACTATGACAATCTATGACAAGCTTCGAGGCATTTCATCAAGCAAGCGCTGTCTCTCTGCTAGGCTCCCATGGCCTGTGGCGTTCCGCCTGCCCCACCCTTCGGCCCTCCAACATCCCCCAGGCGAAGTCAAGTGGCAATCTTCGCGGACTTCAAGAGGTTGAAGTTCCTTGGCATCGCATCATCTGTCTCTTCAAAAGCGCCAAGGGCAGTTCAACTTGACACCAGCCATTTGCAGGAGCCCCTCGTCTTTACACACAGTTCGGAAGCATGGACATCTACGGCTGATAGCTTTGCATCCTCGAGTCCAGGGACCTTCATCGGGCCCGAAGGAAGCGTTTTCTACATTGGGGTGTCATTTTGAGGGCAAATTGCCCATTTCGGGGTGGGTGTTTATTGATAATTTTGGGGGGTCGATGGGCGCCAGGATGGATCCTGATGGGAGCCAAGAGGCTGGTCGACTTGCGATTTTCAAGAGCCAACGGCTACAGCCAAGATGAAGCGACTTGGTTGGAACCCGGGAATGAGCGGCTAATCTTATTTTTCAGGATTGGTTCAGGATTAGTCTGGGTAATTGGTTGGGATTTACTCGGGCATTGTTGCTTGCTTGCTCGCTTGATTGCTTGCCTGCATGCCTGCCTGCTTAGTGCTTGTGTGCCTGCTTGGTGGAAAATACAGAATGCAGGGGTACAAACTTCTTAATCTCCATTGTAGCACCGCGGCAAAGTGGTTGGCTTCTCTTTGGTTTCCTTTCCTTGTCAACCGCATCCCTGTGGGCATCCTGAATTCAAAGGATGCCAATCACATCATCCCTATCCTCATCCTCATCCTCGTCCTCATCCTCGTCCTCATTCCTCATCCTCGTCCTCGTCATCATCCTGGTCATCATCATCGTCGTCGTCGTCGTCACCACCACCACCACCACCACCTCCACCACCACCACCACCACCGCCACCACCACCACCCTCATAACCATCAGCATCCTCATCCCCCCCCGTCTCGCCAGGACGCTCGGGCTCCTTCACGTGGCTCACGGTGAACTTGTTTGCAGCCCCCAGCCGTGTGGTCAACGACCGCTCCTGTCGGAAGGCCCGGGGCCCAGAGCCCGGAGCCCGGAGCCCGGAGCCCGGCACGGGGCATGTGCCGCAGCGCGCGCCAAGCGGAAAGGGAAAAAGCGAGAAGCAAAACAAAAGAAAGAGGACAACTAAATGGCAAAGGAAAAGGAAAGCCAACACGAAAACCCGCAAAAAAGAAGAAAAAAACGACGGGGCATACACATTTGCCGATCACGACCTGGATGCTTTCTGGAGGCAAGCGCAGCTTCTCTGCCCCTCCGCCAAAAGAAAAAGAGAGATCTCGCTGGGCAAACATCTTGAAAGACACGCTCGGCTCAGGAGGTGACCCCCCTTGAAAAGGCCAACGCATCCTCTGGAAGCTGGAGAGTGCCCCGTAATGGATGGTTGGCAGTGCATATCCAATGCACGCCATGAGTTCTGCTCTCCCTTTTGCGAGGAAACCAACAGATCCTAGCACTTTCGGCTTGAAACTCTTTTTCAGCGGCGAAAAATGAAACAGCACTGCGCTCATGTCATCCAGCCAAGCATTGTACCCCAATTCACTTTGAAAACCCCCTTCAAGCTATCAGCCAAGCTAAAGAGGCTATCTGTGGGTCAAATAGGTTGGAGTCCGCACCCATTCTGATAAGCCGCCCCCCACATGACAACCGCCCATTGGCTTTTGCAGCCGCTCCTTGTCCACAATGGTCACCGCACAGGTTCCCGTGGGCGTCTCCTTGTCCACCTGGTACCTGACGCGGCCGCCGGGGGCGGGGGTGGGGGGATAGAAGATGGGCGTCGTCCTGGGGGCCAAAACCTAATGCTGTTTTCTTCTCTAGAGACAATGATTTATTGCATCGGAAGTGCAACATCTCATCTCATCACATTCCGGCAAAAACGATTGGAGAAGAACTGCCCCTTGTTGGGAGGATAAACCCCCTCCTCTTCCGGATACTTCAGCAGCGCCATTTCGGCTATGCTTGGGTCTGCTGATGCGTTGCGACAGTGGCTTGCGGGCACGAATGCGGGGAGTTTGGAGCAATTTCGCCCACCCCCCTCCCACCCCACCCCCCTCCCCCCCCCCGCCACCCCACTCCCCCCCACCCACTGCACCCCTCCACCTGGTCAGCACGCCGTCCTCCTCGCAGGCCTTGGCCAGCTTCCGGCCGAAGGCGTCGTCGCCGATGCAGCCCATGTACGCCGTCATGCCTGGCTCCTGCAAAGCTGCCCATCCAAGAGCCCAGCTCAAACCCAGCCCATTGAGGATTGACTTCAACCCAACCACGCGCCGTCCTGCAGCATCCATTGCGCAACGCGGATCGAGTTCTGCGTCGCGCCGCCCGCCACATACTTCACCTCAGCCGAAGACCCTCAGATGTTGCAGAATGATGTCGGATGTATAATACAAACGCTGTGTCTGACCACAGGACCCCGCATGGTACGCCCACTTGACCTACAAGTCAAAGGGCAGCACACCTCCGGAAGGCCTGCGAGGAAACCACTGGGAAAGGCCGCAGGATCAGGCCGCCAGTCTAGTTGGCGCATGGGCCATGGAACTCGCGAACACCAAAAGAACAAGCAGCACCCGGAAGCAACGCGCGCGAAAGAAAACGAAGTCGAAACCGCAAAGGCGGCAACAAACACACAAAACGCCAAACAAAAAAAAAAAAAAAAACGCCCAAACGAACACTAACCACCTCCTCCAAATCTGTTGGTACAGGACCTTGAGGCTGTGGCCGTGTCCATGGCCGCAAGCTCTTGGTACAGCGCCTCGTGCTTTGGTTCCGCCAGGATGGCATCCCCCGTCTTCAGGCCGTATCTGCCCAGCAGCTCCTGAAGCACCGGACCGGACCGGACCGGACCGGACCGGATGAATGTGGTCTAACCATTCTGCCTCTGGACATCTCAAGGTGGAAGCACCAAAGAATCCCGTTTGAAGCTTGGCGAAGACTGAATCTTGAATGGCTTCTGGGGAAACTCGGAAACCAAGCCGGAGGACTTGTCTACTGTGGAGGATCCAATGATGCATTTAAGTTCAAACACACGAACCCGAGACAGGGAGAAGTTGCTTTTTTCTTGAAATGGAGTTGGGGAACTCAAAGCGAACAGCTGCCAACCCCAATCAATCCAAGTATTGGCCCGTGTTAGTCTTCAAGAAACTTGTTTGGGGCTCTTTCCCAGAGCTGCAAAGTCTGAACTTTTATGATTCTACTTCCTTAAGTCCCAGCCACGGAATAAACGAGCACAAAGAAATGCTTGGATTTTCATTGGGGCCGCTTTTTACGAGATCCCTCCCAAAGGAAAAGATCCTGACCCCGCCTCGGGCACCTCCGCTGAAATATCCAGCAGGGGGTTGCCCATGCCGAGGATCACCGGCTGCTCCTGCCGTGTCAAAACTCCCGTTTGGCCAGGGGTATGTAAAGGAAACAAGTCCCAGCAATCGCTTCCAGGAGCCCGGCAATGAGTCTGGAGCTTTGTCGTGCTTGTTTTGCTTCGGCCAAATGCATTTGCTGGTACGAACCAAAACTTCCAGCAGACTTTGGGCATGTCTCGGCTTTGTTTGCAGCACCTCATTCGCGCAATATGCATCAGCCACATGAACAACAACAACCGTTCCATGTTCGTGCTGGGCCGCGGGGACGGCGGGAACACGTTTCCATAGCGCTAAGCCACCGAAGAATCAGCGTGCATGCTAGTCCCCGGTGCGGTTGAAAGAGGAAATAACCTTTGACTCTCGCAGAAAGATCTGCGAAAAGCCGCGCCAGCGAAATGCCGCGCAAGCCAAGACCGAAAAACGATAGCATACAGCAGATCCCGAGCCTCTTTCCATCCGACAAACTTGAGGCAAACCGACGTGTTAAACAGGTAGGCTGGAATAAATCACACAATCTCCATCCCCTCGTGGCCATCTTGGGAGGAACCGACTTCACAAGCATCCCTCCGTCCTGCCGGGAGTCTTCCTCCTGGCACGTGAGACATGTGCCGCCAAACTGCACCACAAGAATGACAATGGAAACCCGCATGGATCCTTGGGCTCGCTATATTTCCCCTTAAAACACCACCCCCACCAAGGGGCACTCACCTTTCATGGGCCAAAAAGGTGCTGTTTAAAACCACCAAAAAGGGAAACATAGGGACCCGTATCCTTATGGTGGGCTTGGCGAGCCCTCTTGGAATGCAAGAAAAAAAGGCGCGTCTCCTGCGCCTCCGGCTCCGGCACATCCTCATCAAAACACGTAGCCGATGCCAAGGCCTCGCAAATGTCCTCATTGCTCCTCGGCGGCGTTGATTTCAGAAAGACGCACTTGCCGCCCAGAACGTGCGGGCAAAACCATCCCTCTCAAACCTGGCCTCGCAAAGAGGGGAGGTGTGAAGAATAGAAGAATAGAAGTTGCGGATGTCGCTTTTCTTTTTCACATTTGTGGGTTTGGAGCTTCGGCAGCATGCTTCAATAATCGTCTTACTATCCATTTACCTTGAGCTAACGCGGTGTACTTTCTTCCTTAATTTGGGCACCCTTTTCACTTCCAAACTTGCACGCATCATGAAAATGCTTCAGCAATGTTTCACAATGTTATGGCGGCGATCGCTAAGGTTGCTCTTCGGCAGTGGAGGCTCTTGTCTCCCTGTTGTAGGCAATCCAGCATATGCCGTACAGGCGGCAACATTCACCGCCGCTGGGCTGTGGTGTTCAGAATTGTGCGCCGACTTGAACTTTCTACTTCATAGAGGCGCAAACATCCGGCCGGGGCAGGCGGAACCTCGCCCCGCCCCCAGAACCCCGCTACACGCCCCACTACCGCCCCGCCACTGCTTCCCCGCTACGGCCGTAGCGGGGCCTCCCCGCCACGCCCCGCTACGCCCCGCTACGCCCCGCTACGCCCCGCTACGCCCCGCTACGCCCCGCTACGCCCCGCCACGCCCCGCTACGCCCCGCTACGCCCCGCTACGCCCCGCTACGCCCCGCTACGCCCCGCTACGCCCCGCTACGCCCCGCTACGCCCCGCTACGCCCCGCTACGCCCCGCTACGCCCCGCTACGCCCCGCTACGCCCCGCTACCGACTGGGTTGCGCTTAGTAGCGCGAAGACAGCTGGACGGAGCCGCCGCCGGTAGATTTGGCCAACTCCGAACGCAGCCAAACAAACGTCGTTTTTGCAAAACCTTTTAATTGTGGCGGTAACGCCGCGTCGGTCCCGTCTGGAACCGTCCGCTCTCGAGCGGCTTCTTACGCGCTTAGACGGCGAATGAAGCCGCCCGACCCCACGTCGAAACTAGTAATTACTCGACTTGGGGGCGCACGGAAACAAATGGCTATTCCATTAAACCTACCAAAAGGCTCCCCTCGTGTTGTCAAAAACCCGGAAGAGGATGCTGCCTAAGACCTCGACAACCTATTGGCGTCTGTCTTCTTTTTGTGAAGGGGGGAGGCGACGCTAAGTCCAAGTTAATCCAGTCAGCAGCTGGCTGACACTTTTGCAAATCAAATCCGAACTGGGAGGCTCTTGAAGAGAAACAACATCACGGCTCTCCAAAAACCAGGGGGAGGGTCCCTTTCTTCTGGGCACCCCCATTCCAGACATTACGTAGAGTAGACCGCCTTTGCCTCGCGATTCCATTTGCCCAATGGAAAGACAAAACGCGACGTACCCAGTGACTCCCAAAGATCTGGATGGGATGACCATCTCTCCACCCTCCCCGCCCCTGCCCCGCTGCAAAACTGAAAATACGGTCCCAGGGTCTTGCTCAGGGCCTCGTCAAATGGCCTGGCCGCAGGGCCCGGCGAGTGCCAAAAAGTGGTAGGGACTGCCTGCCAGATGCGAGCCCGCACAGGCGGCGTTAAGTTCCAAAGAATCGAGCTTCCTGTCTCCCCCTTCTTGGCCTTGCTCTCAGGCTTTGGCCGGCTGGCGAGCTGTCCAAAACCACCGCATCCGCTTTGCTGATTTTTGTTCAGCTGGAACTCAAGGGCACCCACGTGCAGGCCCCTGTCGACTCCAAACGACTTGAGTAGCCGCCTTGGATGGAACACAGAATCAATTGGTATTTGGTGGTCATCAGCGTCCACGCCAACCACTGCGGCCACAACCAAACAAATCAAGTGCGAGCCCTAAACCCCCACAGCCCCGAACATGCCGCTTGGGCAACAAAAAGAGAGACAACATGGAGGTCCAAAAATAGGTTTGTGTTGGACACACCTCGTTCCCACAGCGCCTCTTCTTGAAGTCGTTGCGGGCGTTGGCGTTGGCGCGCGCCTCCAGCAATGCCCGAACCACCTCTAGATGCCCGTTCAGCGCAGCCTCAGGACAGCGGACGAAGCTGGTGCCGGCCCTGTGTTGTCGTTCTCGCATTTTGTTGATGCTGCGATGCTGCCTTCTTAAGTGTCGTGTGGCTTTGTGTGCGTGTGCGTGTGCGTGTGCGTGTGCGTGCGCGTGTGCGTGCGCGTGTGCGTGCATGTGCGTGTCCGTGTGCGTGTCCGTGCGCGTGTCCGTGTGCGTGTGCGCCTGCGTGCGCGTGTGCGTGTGCGCGTGCGCGTGTGCGCGTGCGCGTGCGCGTGCGCGTGCGCGTGCGCGTGCGCGTGCGCGTGGGCGTGGGCGTGTGCGTGTGCGTGTGTCTGTCTGCCTGCCTGCCTGCCTGCCTGTCTGCCTGTCTGTCTGTCTGTCTCTGTCTGTGTGTCTTTCCGTCTGTCTGTCTGTCTCTGTCAGTCTGTCTATCTGTCTCTCTGTGTGTCTGTATGTCTCTTCTGTGTGTGTGTCTCTGTGTGTGGGTGTCGCTCTCTCGCTCTCTCCCTCTCTCGCTCTCTCTCTCCCTCTCTTTCTCTCGCTCTCTGTCTCTCTCTGTGAGTCTCTCCCTCTCTGTGTGTGTCTCTCTCTCCCTCTCTCTCTGTCGTGTCTCTGTCTCTGTCTCTGTCGCCGTCTTTGTCTCTGTCTGTGTCTCTGTCTCTGTCTCTATATCTCTGTCTCTGTCTCTATATCTCTGTCTCTGTCACTATATCTCTGTCTCTATCTCTATATCTCTGTCTCTGTCTCTATGTTTGCCCGTCTGTCTGGGTGTCTGTCTCTGTCTGTCTGTCTGTCTGTCTGTCTGTCTGTCTGTCTGTCTGTCTGTCTGTGTGTGTGTGTCTCTTTGTCTGTCTGTGTCTGTGTCTGTGTGTGTGCGTATCTCTCTGTCTGTGCGTCTGTGTGTCTGTGTCTGTCTCTGCCTGTGTGTGTGTGTCTGTGTTTGTGTCTGCGTGTCTGTGCACGTTTCCGCGTTTCTGCATTAGAGGACCCCCATTTCTCCGGGCTGGTAATTCAGCAGCGGCAGGTGAACAAAAGGTCTCTCTCTCTCTCTCTCGGTTTATGGATGCCTTAGGCCCTTCATACACCCGGAGTGTCGAACACCCTGGGGCCACATGGCGCGCGGACTCCGAGCCCCGCGCCCAGTGCAGCGGGCAGTTCCCCGCGTCGTTGGCCAGGCTGGGCGCGGCCCGGGCCTGGAGCAGCCTGCCTCGGAGCGATCCGAGCCCCACGCTCTGGGCTTGGGCTTGCCTGCGGGTAATGTTAACCCCGGATTAATCAACAAACCCCTTGGTTGATTAATAGGAGGGTGTCCCCTTTTAGTGGGGATTCATCAATGAGGCGCCGTGCTTTCCCCGTGGAAACCTCCTGAGCATGAAGGGGACGGATGCGTTCGGTGTTATTTGGGGGGCCGCTGTCGGGGGGCACGTTATTCAAGCGGCAGCCAATTGTGCCGTTTTCATCTTCTTGACATTGCTTCAGAATTCTGGCCGTCCGATCTCAGAACGCTTGCCAGGGGAGCTAAGGGCCAACTCCGTCATGTGCCATGGTCAAACTCCCGAAGATGCTGGTCGTCAAACCCAGCAACAGAACTTCAGGACCTCAAGCAAGGTTCAGTCGAGGACCTGGTTTTTGGGCTGAGCCGGTGCAAACCCAAATAAACACACAAAGTCCTCGACTGGAACCTGCTTGCCCCTCCCCCCGAAACAAAAAAAGAGCAAAAGGGGAGCAGCTCCCATGTTCCCTACTCTGACGAGCGGCGCACGATGGCCGTGTGCCCGTTGGCACTGGCCATAAGCAGCGCTGTGCTGCCGCCGTGGCTCTGCGCATCCACCTGACACAACTGGCCCCGGAGAATCAACCAACCAAGAAGACCGAGGCAAACCCAGAACCCGAAACCCGACCAATTTACAGACCCGAACCACCAACCACAAAAGCAAACGTGAATGCCATACCAAGCCACATCAGATCAAAACAAGCAGCACTAAGACTCGGAAACCATCCCGTTGACCTTTAGTGGGAAAACAAGCCACCCCCCCCCTCACCCAAGGAAGGGTCAAGTTTCTCAGAGAGTGTCTGGGGGGCGGGGGGTGGGGGGGGGCATATTTCTCCTTGAACCGTCCGCTTCCCGACAATTGGTTTGGATTGGCAGCATGGATTGTCGAGATGCGTCTGGCTTCCCATTTCTCGAAGAACCAGGGGTGCAAATCCAAATCCAAACCACCAAAATACGGACATCCCACCACTAAACACTATTTTGCAGCCAAAAAGCCAAGGAACGGGCTGGTTGAACCAAGTAAAGGAGCGGCCCCCGTGGCCACCGGAACTCCCACGCCTGCACTCCGGCGCCGAGGGCCGCATCCACTGCCTCGTCGTCGCCATATCGGGCGTCCAGCACGAATTCCGCCACCTGCGCTGGGGGAGCGCTGGCGGAGGAGTGGTTGTGCTATTTTCTTGGGAGGGTCGGATATGTTCGGGTGGAGTTGTGTTGAGCTTAGTTTAGCAGGCTGAGGCTTGTGTTGGAGTGTGGGTGTTTCTTGACTTAGACCAAAACAAAGGTTGAGGCAAAAAAGCACTCATGCCGCAAATGCAGCAGGCCCAAGAATGCCACATGCCATGAGTTGCACGTGCTGCAAGAGCCCAAGCCAGCGACCAGCCCAAAGCCGCTGGGCCTCCTCAGGCGGCTCCGCCATGGGGACGCAATCCCCCCAAACCGCTTGGGCCGAACTGCTTGGGCCGAACCGCCATGGGCGGGAGCACGTAAGTTCTAGATGATGTGTCTTTGAGGTATCCGGTTTCAAGGGAAGTTTCAAGAAGTTGGGAAGGGCGACCCAGAAGAATCTTTTGGAGCCGCAAAGTGAGCCTCCGCAAAATCCGTGATTGGAGATACCATGCCCATGTATCAGCCCGGGTGGATTCAGATTGGGGATCTTTGAAGATGCGGACCAAAGCGACCCACCCAGCAAATAAACGGGGAACGTCATCGTATATATAGTATGGTTCTGGCTGGTGAAGCACCTTAAACGGGAAACGCCCCATTGAAAAGGTGCCAAACGGACAAGAACCGCATGCGGTTCGTGTAGGGGAGCTGACCAGTAAGTTTTGCTCTCACAGAAGTTGCGTCCAAAACCGAGGCATCGCAAAGTGGAGACCTGTCGAGCGAGTGCGGTTCCTTTGCAGCTTCTCGGCCAATGGGAAAGCCAAAGATCAAAAGCACGGCATTCATTTCGTGCTTGTGCCGCGTGCTGCGGTCCAAAACCGCCCACCAGTGGCTTCCAAGGTTGCCCATAAAACCCATCCCGTTAAGCGGGCTTCAGGTAGATGATAGGGAAGTGATCCTCACCACTCCGCCTTGCAATTGTGGACGAACCGCACACCAGTAAGGGTAGGGCGATTGCAACGGCAGGGTCGAGGCACATACCCACTGCTACACCAACAAAGAGATTAAAAGGCTCACCTGACACGCCCCAACCGCAGCTGCTCCGACCTTTTCGAACCGAAACCGCTCAGAGTCTCAGAGCTTGGACTCTGCCTCCTCAGGGAATATATCTAATAAAATAATACCCGGAATGGGTGAAACAAATGAAAATAGTGAAATGATGATATCAAAAACATAGTGGCATGATTTCACATGCGATGAATTCAACATATTCGTTTAAGGAGATGGATCCTGAAGAAATCACTTTGACATTCAAAAGCTCGGCACGGCTTTTCAGGTATGGAAATCAGTTTCAAATTAAATGAAGGTCGGTGGAGAAAGCGCTACCGACCTGCACCTTTTGATGCCCCTCACCCTGCCCGTGGGCCTTCCCCCCCCTTCAACCAACTTAGGTAGTTATGACCGTGGATCTAACTTGATTTTTCCCGGAACTGCATTAATCCCCTAACCAGAGTTTGGAGCGAGTCAGAAGTTTCTTAACTAGAGTGGCAAACGGTAGAATCCCAGGTGGAAACCCGGACGCCCCAGGGCTGGGAGACAAACTCCGCCGACCCCTTCTCCTCAAAGGGGGAGGCGCACGGGAAGGGTGGTTACAGCACAAGTCCAAGGTTGGTTGGTATATGAGCATAGCCGAAGATTCAACATTAACAGCGTAAGCAATACCGTCATCGTAGCATCCTTTGCACCTCAAAGACGTGTCTTTTTCGTCATCATGATCATTATTGTCGTCATCCGTGTCTTTTTCGTGTGCGTTTCAAGTGTCCTGTTAGAGCCAGACATCATGCCCGTGAGGAGGGACTTGCATTCGCGCTGATGATGATGATGATGATGTCGATGGTGACCATCATCATGGCCACCATCATGGTGATGATGACATGCTCATCATCATCACATCATCATCGTTGTGACCTGATTGGAGATGCAGAGGATGCGTAGACATGATTATCATCATGACTGTTGGTGATGCAGAGGACGCACGATGATGGTTATCATCGATGATGATAACGGTAATGATGACGATGACGATGACGAGGATGATGCTGATGATGATGATGATGACACGCTTGTCATTATATCAAACATCATCGTTGTCGTCCTTGTCCTTTTTATGTACGTTTCAAGGGTAGCGTTAGAGCCGATTGGAGATGCAGAGTGTGCGTAGTGATGATTATCATCATGATTGTTGGTGATGCAGAGGATGCACGATGATGGTTATCGTCCATGATGACAACGGTGATGATAGCGATGATGACGATGATAATGATGACGATGATGATGATGCTGATGCTGATGATAATGACCACTATCATGGTGATGATGACACGCTCATCATCATCACCTCATCATCGTTGTGACCTGATTGGAGATGCAGAGGATGCGTAGACATGATGTTGTCGTCCTTATCTTTTTTACATCACATACGTTTCAAGGGTAGCATTAGAGCCGATTGGAGATGCAGAGGGTGCGTAGTCATGATTATCATCATGACTGTTGGTGATGCAGAGGATGCACGATGATGGTTATCGTCCATGATGACAACGGTGATGATGACGATCACGATGATGATGATGATGCTGCTGATGATGACGATGATGATGACGATGATGACCACCATCATGGTGATGATGACATGCTCATCATCATCACATCATCATCGTTGTGACCTGATTGGAGATGTAGAGGATGCGTAGACATGATTATCATCATGACTGCTGGTGATGCAGAGGATGCACGAGGATGGTTATCATCCATGATGATGACGGTGATGATGACGATGACGATGATGATGATGATGCTGCTGATGATGACGATGATGATGATGACGATGATGACCACCATCATGCATCGTGATGATGACATGCTCATCGTCATCACATCATCATCGTTGTGACCTGATTGGAGATGTAGAGGATGCGTAGACATGGTTATCATCATGACTGCTGGTGATGCAGAGGATGCACGATGATGGTTATCATCCATGATGATGACGATGATGATGACGATGATGATGATGATGACGATAATGACCACCATCATGATTATCATGACTGTTGGTGATGCAGAGGATGCACGATGATGGTTATCGTCCATGATGACGACGGTGATGATGACGATGATGACGATGATGATGATGACGATGATGTCGATGATGATGATGATGACGATAATGACCACCATCAGAGGATGCGTAGACATGGTTATCATCATGACTGCTGGTGATGCAGAGGATGCACGATGATGGTTGTCATCCATGATGATGACGATGATGATGACGATGATGATGACGATGATGATGACGATAATGATGATGATGATGATGACGATGATGATGATGACGATGACGATACTGAGGTGATGCAGAGGATGCACGATGATGGTTATCATTCATGATGATGACGATGATGATGACGATGATGATGACGATGATGACGATGATGATGATGACAATGATGATGATGATGACGAACGGTTCGTCGTCATCATCATCACGGTGCTCATCATGATCATCATCATCAGAGCCGATTTGAGATGCAGAAGATGCGTGGACATGATTATCATGATGAGGATGCGTCATGATGATTATCATGTCAGTTCATCATCATCATGATCATCATCATCAGTCCCGTTAGAGCCGATTTGAGATGCAGAAGATGCGTGGACATGATTATCATGATGCCTGCTGGTGATGCTGAGGATGCGTCATGATGATTATCATGTCAGTTCAGCATCATCATCATCATCATCATCATCATCATAAAAGCGGTGCATTTTCACGCGAAAGCAAACCAAAAATGCACCGCCCTGGATACAATATGGGACCCATCGCGGCCCCGACTTGCGGCGAGAAAACTGGTTGGCTTGCGGGGTGACCGGCGATGAGCCTCTACTGCAAACGCAACGTCACGGCACATGCTCCCAGCAGCAGCAGAATTGTAGGCACTTACAGCGGCTCATTTTCTTACCAGATTCTTACACAAATGCACCAAGCCAAGGAAAGAAAACGATCGCTCCAGAATGGGCGCAGGTTCTATGGAAGCGTGCCAATCAAAGCGCATTATCACGATGACTGCTGGTGATGCTGAGGATGCGTCATGATGATTATCATGCCAGTTCATCATCATCATCATCATCATCACGGTGCTAATGATGATCATCATCAGTCCCATTAGAGCCGATTTGAGATGCAGAAGATGCGTGGACATTATTATCATGATGACTGCTGGTGATGCTGAGGATGCGTCATGGTGATTATCATGTCAGTTCATCATCATCATCATCATAAAAGCGCTACAATAGGGGACCCATCGGCCCCGACTTGCGGCGAGAAAACTGGTTGGCTTGCGGGGTGACCCTCGGTGAGCCTCTACTGCAAACGCAACGTCACGGCACATGCTCCCAGCAGCAGCAGAATTGTAGGCACTTACAGCGGCACATTTTCTTACCAGATTCTTACAAAAATGCACCAAGCCAAGGAAAGAAAACGATCGCTCCAGAATGGGCGCAGGTTCTATGGAAGCGTGCCAATCAAAGCGCATTATCACGATGACTGCTGGTGATGTTGAGGATGCGTCATGATGATTATCATGCCAGTTCATCATCATCATCATCACGGTGCTAATGATGATCATCATCATCAATCCCATTAGAGACATGATGTTGGCGTCCTTATCTTTTTTATATACGTTTCAAGGGTAGCATTAGAGCCGATTGGAGATGCAGAGGGTGCGTAGTCATGATTATCATCATGACTGTTGGTGATGCAGAGGATGCGCGATGATGGTTATCGTCCATGATGACAACGGTGATGATGACGATGATGACGATGATGACGATGATGCTGATGACGATGATGTCAATGATGATGATGATGACGATAATGACCACCATCATAGGATGCGTAGACATGGTTATTATTATGACTGCTGGTGATGCAGAGGATGCACGATGATGGTTATCAATGACGATGATGATGACGATGATGATGATGACGATGACGATAATGAGGTGATGCAGAGGATGCACGATGATGGTTATCATCCATGATGGTGACGATGATGATGATGACAATGATGATGATGATGACAATGATGATGATGATGACGAACGGTTCGTCGTCATCATCATCACGGTGCTCATCATGATCATCATCATCAGAGCCGATTTGAGATGCAGAAGATGCGTGGACATGATTATCATGATGAGGATGCGTCATGATGATTATCATGTCAGTTCATCATCATCATGATCATCATCATCAGTCCCGTTAGAGCCGATTTGAGATGCAGAAGATGCGTGGACATGATTATCATGATGCCTGCTGGTGATGCTGAGGATGCGTCATGATGATTATCATGTCAGTTCAGCATCATCATCATCATCATCATAAACGGGGTGCATTTTCACGCGAAAGCAAAGCAAAAATGCACCGCACTCTGGCATCATCATCATCATCATCATCACGGTGCTAATGATGATCATCATCATCAGTCCCATTAGAGCCGATTTGAGATGCAGAAGATGCGTGGACATTATTATCATGATGACTGCTGGTGATGCTGAGGATGCGTCATGATGATTATCATCATCATCATCATAAAAGCGGTGCATTTTCACGCGAAAGCAAAGAAAAAATGCACCGCACCCTGGCTACAATAGGGGACCCATCGCGGCCCCGACTTGCGGCGAGAAAGCTGGCTGGCTTGCGGGGTGACCGGCGATAAGCCTCTACTGCAAACGCAACGTCACGGCACATGCTCCCAGCAGCAGCAGAATTGTAGGCACTTACAGCGGCGCATTTTCTTACCAGATTCTTACAAAAATGCACCAAGCCAAGGAAAGAAAACGATCGCTCCAGAATGGGCGCAGGTTCTATGGAAGCGTGCCAATCAAAGCGCATTATCATGATGACTGCTGGTGATGCTGAGGATGCGTCATGATGATTATCATGTCAGTTCAGCATCAGCATCATCATCATCATAAAAGCGGTCATTTTCACGCGAAAGCAAAGCAAAAATGCACCGCACCCTGGTTACAAGAGGGGACCCATCGCGGTCCCATTTTGAAGCGGCCCCGTTCATTTCAGCCATTCCCAAACTGGTTTGGGGTCGGCGGCACTGGGCGGCAGCCCTTAAATAACTCAGATAACCAAACTTTGTTTTCTCAATGAAGAAAAAATTAGTTGAGGGGCTCGAGAACAAAGGTTCGGGCGCCGAAAAGGTTAGTTTTTTCAGGCGGAAACTAACCGTTCTGGCATCGGGGGACACGGGGCGCCCAGAAACAAACCTTTTGAAAGGTTAGTTTCAGCGATTGGAAATTGATGTTTCCAGGGTCGGAAATCACACTTTGCTAGTTACATCTCCAGCATCACAAATGACACCCCTAGCATGTTCTCACCAGCAACACCACCAAGTGGCTTGGCAGTTGCTAAGTTCAGCTGCGCAAAGTTGCGTGTAATGCGCCGCGTTTTTATTCCATTGGCGCTTTTTGCGACGGAGACTGCGCCCCGACCAACCCCCCACCCAGAGACCGTCTCAATCCTCTCAACCAATAACCCCCTCCCCCCCCCCCCCGGCAACTGGGCGGCGGGAACTGTTGTGTGGGGAGGGGGGGTGGATTGTTGGAACAATAATTGGCGGAGGGTGGATTTGTTATTGGGGGGGAGGGGGTTATGATTGTTCGAGGATTGTGGTTGGGGGGGGATGCTCGAACAACAACGGGGGGTTGTTGTTGGGGGTGGGGAGGGCGGATTGTTGTTTGCAAGGGAGAAGGTTGCTGTTTTCTTGTTAGTAACGCGTGCTTTCTCTACTACCCGCTGCCCCACAAATGTTGCATTTGATCCTTTTTCAGGACAATCTTGTTCGTGTTGAAATCTCAACACTGGTGCTACAAAAACCGCTCGGGTTTGCGGAGCAAACCGAGCCTTGTGTTGCTGACGTCGCTTGTTGGGAGTCCATCAATTGCGTTACTTTCGCGCAGCTCAGTGCGTGTTTACGTTTGTTTTGCGTCATGTCATAGGCCGTGCCTAGGGTTCGGTGTTGGAAATACCACTCGTAAAGCGTTCAAAACCGGTTCAAAGCCCGTTCGCAAACTGTTCGCATGTCGTACAGTTGGCGTAAAACTAAACATGTGTTTTGCGAAATCACCTTGTTGTTCTAAAAGCCGTTCTGGTGCTGAAAAACCTATCTGGTGCGCAGATTTTCAATCGAAAACATCATTTCTCCAAGTGGTGCTGGAAACAGAATATTTTGGAAGCTTCAGGTATGGTTTATTGCTTTCCTAATTCTAATGAGGGGCGCTGGGCCCCCCCAACCCCCCGCTTCTTTATCCGGCTGTTGTTCAGCTTTGTGACCGTTGCTTGTAATCGCGCGATTTCTCCAGTACCCATCCAGCCAGTCGATCCACCTCCGCTCCGCCTCGGCTCCGCCTTCGGCACAGCTCCGGCTCCGGCCCGGCGACGCTCCGGCTCTCATCTGCCCAGCTCCGCTCCAGCTCAGCTCCGGCACTCATCTGCATACCGGCTGCATCAAAAGTGCAGATGCAAACGTTTGCCTGGACCAAACCACAGGTTTAGAACCAAACGTTTCGGCGGACACAACAAACCTTCCTCCGAAACTTGAGTCGATGTGCAATGAAACAAACTCACAGCCCGAGTTCCCGAAAGGATTGTTTTCAGCCCTGAAACAATAGTTTGTCCGGAAAGCATGTTTTGGTATGCAAAACTAACCTTCTTCCCGTGAGATTCCTTTCAGAGTTTCCCAGAAAACAAACTAAACTCTGCAATGAAACGATTGTTTTCCAAGTGTCCAAAGAAGCCATTCTAGGGTTTCCGAGAAGTTTCCCATGGCAAAACAAACGTTCACAGGAAGAATGTGTTTTTGAGACAGAAACAAACCTTTCACATGGAAAACGTTGGTTCCTCTATTGGAAATCAACTTTTCCGCGCATGCCACAGAAGAATATAGGCATGAGATTGGAAGTAACGTTTGCTTTGTCCAGAGAAACAAAGGTTCCGTAGACGGCCATAAGTTTGTTTGTCCTGGCGAAACAAACGTTAGGCCAAGCCAATAGTTAGTTTTCTCAAAACTAACTAGTGACTTGCTCCCATGTGCCTAACCATGGCTGCAACCTACCAAGTGCTGGAAAAAGGCAGGCTTGAACCCCGGGCGACCTAGATTTCCCAAAAGGGAAACCCTAGCTTTAAGCCTGGCTGTGGGCACGCAACAAATGGCACCCCAGCATTTCCGGCCTCCAGAAACCGCGCCGCCTGACGCATCGGGCGCCGCTGCGTGGGCACCGCGCAGAAGGGCGACCCGAGGTCCGGGTAGCCAAGCGCCACCCCGCACCTCGGCTCGAGGCCCCAACCCGCGAGAAATCAATTTCTGGGCTTAGTGCAGGCAACCAAGACCCAGCCAACCCATCACCATCACCCCAGCAAACCCACCACCATCACCCCAGCCAACCCATCACCACCCCCTCACCACCACCTGGATGTACAACCAACTTCTTAAGGTCCCCACGATTTGAAATTTGGATGTTCGGTTCTCGCCATGGAACGCCTTACGCCAAGGGACTGTCCGTATCCCGCGTCTTGGGCCTTCAAACAAACAACCTCCGCAAACAAAAGGAAACATAAACTTGATGCCGGCAACACTGGGGAACAAATGGGCATGTCTGTTTTGAGGAATCGGACCCTCCAAACTCCAAACACGGTGGGTTTCCTTTTGGTTTCCCTTCAAATCAACCAAACACATGTGAGCCCACCAAAACATGACATGACAGACCCTGAACAGAAAACCCCCCCCCAACCCCACCCCCCCCCAACCCCACCCACCCACCACCCCCAACCCCACCCCCCCCCCAACTCCACCACCCCCAAGCTAAACCAAAGCGCCAAACTGCCTCCCGCGTCTGCTCGATGCCCAGCGCCTCGTAGACGCAACTCCCCAGGTTGCCCCAGGCCTCCAACATGGCCTCGCCGTGGGTCATGGGTGGGCCGTCCGTTCGTCTTCGTGTTTGAGGCTCGGCACCTCCGGTTTGTTTGGCGGTGCGGAGGGGGGAAGCCGAGAGGAAAACCGCTGCTTGATTGCTTTTGTTTTTGTTGGGGGGGGGGGCTCCAACCTTGGAAAGCTTTGGAATATCTGAGCTTCAGGAAGTCTCTCTCCGAAATTCCACTGGTGAATGATCAGAACGCTGGTAGAACTAGTCGAAGCAATTTTATGTTCGACCGAGGCGGCCCCAAAGGACGCCTGGGGTCAAAACCCCGGAGAACAGGCCCAACTGGGTTCACTCACAACTGGGCGATGGACATACATCCTTTACCTTGTGACGTTGTTTTGCACAAGGGGAGACGTATTGGAAGTCTCCTTCAACAGGTGCACACCTCCAGCTGCACTGTGCCTTGCTGGTAGGGATTGGCGCTGCGCTTGGCGCCCAAGAGTTGGCACCCACGCATGTGGATACAAAGCGGGCGCGCACCCGTATCCAAAAGCACGCCACCGCAAAAAACACCCGCCCCTGCCTCTTGAACCTTTCACCTGCTGAACCCCCCCCCTCCAAACAGAGGAGCAGAATGTGCAAGTGGCCACGGAAGCGCAACAACAAAACACAAAATAACCCTTGCCCCTTCCCGCCCCCCTTCCCGCGATTCCGAATTTTCCTTGGAGGTACTTCATTGAATGGGTCACCCAATTAATCTGATCCATATGTAAAATCAACCATCGGCTACTCCATAGGCCAGGAGGAAGACAACCCCTATCCAACCCAGCGCTTCCCGCTTCCCCGCCGTGGCGAGGCCCCGCTCCACCGCCAGCAGGGCGAGCGTCTGCAGCAGCATCCCCGTATGGCCCCAGGCATTCTTATCCGCGCCCCCTGCGCGAGACCCAATCTTTTGGGACTTTGGCGGGGGGGGGGGGGGTCCGCATGGATGCTCGCCCTAGATGGCAGTTTCCTTTTTTGGCTTCCCGGAAAATACCAACCAAAAAACCAAAAGAAGGCTTCGCCATTTTATGAAGGCCACAAGGGTGCTTGAAGTGCCCTTGGCCAATTGCCAGGTTGTATGCTGCGATGTGGGCATAAACCCACACACACACACACAGACAGGCAGTAAAGCGAAAATAACGTCCTATCTTCAGTTTCGGTTTCACCCTCACGCCTTTGCCACAATGCCAAGGGACTGGTCGCCTGTCGCTTGAAAGGTCCCATCTGGGGCCAGGCCAGCAGCCAAATCGGAAGCCAAGCGATCCAGGTGGCAGTAAAACCCAGTCCCAGTATCAGTATGCAGACACCAAGCCTTCACAGGGTATGGGTGTTTCTCAAAATGGGAGGGGTTGTCAGGGGCGTTGCTTATTCTGGAAAAAGTGCCCTTGCGGCTTGTGAGAAATTGACAACTATGGGCTGTTTAGCCGGCCGCCAGACTACTTTCCCCTTCACAAAGCCTCCGAAGCCGGCTTCAGTATTTTCAGGGAAGTGACTGAGAATCATGGAAGCTGGCAGGATTCTGGGCAGCTCTTGCGTGTGGAAAGGGAGTGCTGGCGTCGGGCGAAAGGGAAACGACTCTCAGCGATCGGTCACACTAGCAATACTGGATATGCGTCAAAAAGCTCCGAGCCATCCCATATTCCCTGTGCCTGACACAATTACAGGGGGTCCTTGACCTTCTCCTTTTACGGCACGTTATTTTACTTTTCCAATCCCCCCCCCTGGCCCCACGCCCCTCCCGCCACCAACCCTGTTGAAAGGATACCCTCAATGCCAACTTCGTGCAGTGCCGTCCTTTTGTTTGCCCAAAGCACTTGCCATCGGCCAAGCGCGGGGGGATGTCAGAGATTTTGCCAGCGATTGTCTCAGAGGAGCTTCTCAGAGATGAAGGAGGCTCTTGGTTTCTGTAAGCTCAACGGGGCACGCTCATCAACTCATGGCAGCATAGGAATGGCGCACTCAGCTGAGGAGGATGTTCCTTTGACGGGTCATGTGGGTAACTGTTGGGCTGCAAGGGTGGCCCAAAAAGTGGAAACCATCTACCTTCAACCAAACTGCACCTTCCTCAGGTCAAAATAGTCAGTGTGTAACTTTCAAAACAAAACAAACAAAAAACTAACTAACTTGTCAATTGTTATCAGATTGATTCTCAGCTACATGACCCACCGACCCCCTCCCTCCGCCCTCCGCAGGAGGTTTCTGCGCTGAAAACTTCGGGGCCCCCGGCGATCCACGGTGACGATGACGCCCACCGGCGCCCCCCAGAACCCGAAGTTCTCCATGAGCGCGCGGGCGCGGCCCGCGCGGTCGGAGCGCTCCACCCCCATCCCTCAGGGGGTCGGCGGTGGCGGGTGGGGTCGGCGGTGGGGTAGGTGGGGTGGGTGGGGTGGGTGGGGTGGGTGGGGTGGGTGGGGTGGGTGGGGTGGGTGGGGTGGGCTTGGGTGAGGTGGACACACACACAGACACACACACACACACACACACACTCTCTCGCAGATTGACTGACATGGAACCCCCAAAACAACATCCATGCTTGGAGGAAGCTCCTTTGGGAACTGGACCTCTGACACCAAAAGCAACAACCTTGTCCATCTCTCGGAAAGGTTTGGGGGAACGTGAGAGAAGGCAAGGGTGCTAGGTCAGCTGGTATGACAAACACATCATAAAATATCCGCGTGGTGTTTGCCTTCTTGGAACTTCATGATTTATCTGCCAATAAGAGGAAGAGATAACCCCCCCCCCAAAAAAAAAAAAAAAACGAAAAGCAAAACCACAAAAAAACAACGAAACAAAAAGAGGGATAAAAAAAAGAAAAAAGAAAGAAGAAAACAAAGAAGGGGGAAAAAAGGCGATGGCGACCCAAGCCCGTCGCCCCAGCTTCAATCCACAGCCAAGGCGCGAGCCCAAAGATCTTGGGCCACTCGGATGCGGCGGTCCATGTAGGCCTGGCCCATGGAAGTTCTCGTGGATTTGGGACCCTCTGGATTGAATTCAAAGGAAAACTCAAAGGAAATCTGTTGCCAAAAGGAAAGGGGACACCGGATTGGAGAAGCCTCTTGGCGGAGAATGTTTGCCAAGATGCGATCTTCAAACTTAGGGTATTTCTTGGGAGGCAGGGCTCACCAACCAGGAATTCATGGGGGCTGCGTTCAAGGGCCTGCCAGGGCTGCGATTGAAGTGCAGGTTCGACAAATTAAGCACCATCGCCAAAGGCCGCATGGCAGCTCACAAGAAGGGGAAAAAACAACTGCAGGCAAAGCCCAAATTGAAAAAGAAAACAGGAGTCTGGTAACAAAAAGGAAAGTAGTCGATTGTCCCCTCACCCACCCCCAAAAAAAAGAGGAAACCGAGCAGAAGTCCGAAACAAACAGAAACAGGAAAGAAAAGAGAGGTCTGGGAAGACTCGGAACAGGCACCTGCATGTTTAAAATCGGCTTGCGCCTGGTGCACGTCCTCCGGCACCTCCGTCTTTGATGGATACGTCCGATACTCCTGGCCTGCAGGGGGGGCGGGGGTAATGAGACCGACCACGAAAAAGAGCCATATGAAGCCCTGGTTACAAAAGGAAACCAAACTGGAAACCGATGCCATTTTCAGCCCCCCCCCCCCCCCGCCCACAAAAAGCCAGACCCATGTATACTTTGAGGGAACAGTCCAATTGGAAATCTCGGACCTATGTAGAACGCCGGGTTGATTTTGATTGGGGTGTCCCCAGAAAGGGGAGGAACACCCCGAGGTCAACACTATAGCCCCTTTTTGTCTGGAGGTGGCTTGGGAATTAAAGTCATCGAAGAATGCACCAACTCGAGTCAACATGTTTGAACTATGATCGCCCATAGCTGCCGCTCCAGTTCTTCTCGCCCAAGCCCCGAAAGGCCCAAAGAGGGTCCAGACTTTTCCCCAGGCCAAACCAGGGCCCGTGGGCTTCGAATTGTTCAAGTATCAGGCACCTGACCCTTCAACTACCTCCTCAAGTAAGCCAGGGGAAGCCTCTCCAGCGTTCCATTCCCCCCCCCCTTCCGCCCCTCGACAGGGGGTGGGAACCAGGGGATGGTTGCTTCAGCTTCAACAGGGGTCTCCTGCGGAGGAACCCTTCTGCAGCTGCGCGAGGGCTGCACGCTGCAGTGAGCCCAAAGCCGCGCCTGTGGCAACCTCCGGACGGGCTCCCTTCTTTCAGCTGTTCGCATTGCACCAAGGCGGCTTTCTAAGGTCAAAACATGCTCCAACCACTCAAGCTTGCGGACACGATGAGCGGAGCGTTGCAAAAAGCTACAAGACACTCTGCACAACCAAACCTTACTGCGCTCGTTTCCTGAAGCCCATTCGTGGGGATTGGATTGATTGGATTGATTGTCTTGGGGATAGGCGAGCTCCCTTGAAAAAGAGGTTTCGACACATTTCGAGCCAGGAAAACTTCCCCTGTCCCACCCCTTCTCTCCCAACTCCAAGGCCCCCCCCCCGCCCCCCAGACCCCCGGGTCCGCTCACCCCAAACCGCCCTCAGCGACCGAGGCACATAGAGGTGCCAGGGCTGGGTGTTGCCTCCGCTGGGCGCCCGCTGCGCTTGGTCCAGCAAATCCTCCAAGACCTCCGCAGCTGGGCCTCAAACCTGGGACCTGGGGCCCCAAAAAGTTGGAAGGGACTCGGAGGGGAAAACAATGCAAACCAGCAATCACCAGCCAGCTTCCCACTCGTTGGTGGTTTGGATTGGTGGTTTGGATTGGTGGTTTGGATTGGTGGTTTGGTGGTCAAGGGGTAGCTTCCCATTTGCCCTTTGCACGAACCAGAGATTTCAATTCAACCCAGCAGCCAGAGGGTGAAATAACTTGGACGGGACTTGCTTGAGATTCGCAACCAAAACACAACTACCCGGCTCTTTAAAAACAATGTGCTTCACAAAGGGGCGGAAAGACTACAACAAAGTGGCAGTTGGAAGTAGGGCTGGCACCAACTCAAAAGAGGTCTCAAAGAGTATCAAAGAGTGCCAAGGAAGGCAGAGTCTGCTTCTTGCGCGGCTTGCGATATTTACAGCATCGCCCAGGGACAAGCAACGCCCAACCATTGCGCGTCTGAAGGAACCTCCTGCAATGTCGAGTCACACAAGGCTGGAGCATGTCGACCACTTGAAACGTGTTGCGCTACTCAATCGAGAAGGCAATATCCCAAAAGGTAGCTGTTTTGACCTAACCAAGGCTTGGCAAAACCCAGTGGGTACACCCCTGTCAAACTGCGTTTCATATTCAGTCAACTTTAGATCACGGTTTATCCTTGGAGACCCCAGAAAGAGCCAAGCACACAGCCCCAACCAACCAACCAACCAACCAACCCACCCAAGCAACCAACCAACCAACCAACCAACCAACCAACCAACCAACCAACCAACCAACCAACCAACCAGCCAGCATCTGCCTCCCACCCCCCCTCCACAAGCCGCCAGCGCCTCCCTTGCCACAGGGCGCGAAAGGAATGCCCGGCAGGTGCTACGCTGCCGAACCGCCTGGGGTGAAGGGTTGCCCCTCCACAAGTCTTCCGTCAAATGACTTGTGAATGAACTTCAACGGGGTCACCTAAAAGTCAACGGGCCCAAGAAACAAAATGTAGCAATGTAAAGACAGGCCAAAGCTGGCACCCCGATCGCTAAAAGAGCCAACGCTGCCTTTTGCACCAGCCTGCTGGACACAAGTCCTCTTCACAGGTACCGGTAGCTCGAAATGGCAAATCTAAACAAACGGCAAAGCATGCGCCCGCGCAATGAATAGCAGCAGCAAATGGCAAACGTGCGTCCAGCCAGGGCCTAAGGTGCCCACGATATTGCCACCTGCCCTTCAGATTCGAACCTCAAGCAAGGTTGGTTCGAGGCCATCTTTCAGGCCGATAGTTTTGTGTGGGGTCCATGTTGGCCTGCAGTGGCTATCAAATTTGGATTTCGCCCTTTAAATTGCTTGCAGGGTAAAAATTACCATGCCTCAAAATCAGGGAACGTGTTCTTTTTTGGTTTTTACTTTCTTAGAGCCACCAAACATGGGCTCCCCCGAAAAAAGGGACTCGCCCATAGGAGTAAGCAGTCATACTAGCCAAGGGGGTAACTGGAAGTGCCAAGTCAAACAAGCGGTTGGGAAAGCCATTGCTGTTGGTTTCCTGACCCCATATTATTAAACCCCAGTTTATTAATAGGGGGAGATAGGGGGAGTGTTCCCCTCCAAAAGTGATGATTTGCCACTAAACCCAGGGACACCCCCGAATTAACAAACTGGGCTTGATTGATATGGGGTCAACATTATGACAAGCCACCCAAATATGAGAACTTCTGAGAATCCGACCGGGCCTCGCCTCAGACACCATCATTCCGGGCAGTGAGCCCAGGTGTGGCGCGACACGGTGCGAGGGGGCCTGCCTACTCCAACACGAGGGTCGCTCGCAAAGCGAGGAAGCCCTCATCAAATCGGCGGGTTCCCTTTAAATCTCCTTGTGGGCCAAACAAAAACCCAACTAGAAAAGCAGATCCTGACACGCGGATTTAGCTCACCAGACAACCTAGCTTAGAGGTGGCATTAAGAGTCGGCAAGCGGTCACCCTTTTGCTGGTTCCAAACGAAAAGGGAACAACCATGTTCAACAGGTCCCCCGTTTTGCGACACGCCGTCATTGCAAAGCTTGCTGGCCAGAGATGTGCATGCAAGGAGCCGAAAAATCGCGTACAGGTTCAGGCATCACGACAACAGGACGGCTACAGAGCAGCTTTGCAAACCCCAAGCTGCAAACCTGACTGCACATTGACCCATGCCACCAGTCCACCCTTCACGCCAAAGGTTCCAACATGCCTCCCACCTTCTCCCGCCCCCCCGCACTTGGCAAGTTTTGCAGCTGGAAGGCCGTGCGCGGCCCCTGGCGTGTGAGGATCGAGCGCCGGGCTTTGGGCAGCTCGGGAAGATTCCTACAGGAGCGCAGCCGCAAGGAGCACTTGAGGCATCCAGACGGCCAACTGCCCCTTCGCCAGGATGTGTCACCTAGGCATGCCCAGCATGCCGCTGATGCCGCAGTGCGAGTTCCTGGGCGGACAACATTCCGATGTCCTCCTGAAACATCGCCCCCTCCCAGACGAAACTCGTCGAAGCAAAAAGCGTTGAGCGTCTGACAGGGCGAGAACTTCCAGGGTTGAAACCCAAAAATCTGTCAGCCCCAGGGCCGCAGACCCTGCATCTTGTTTTAGGCACGAGCTTTCCCAGCGGGGACATCATACGAACATGGCGGGGTTCGGCATCAACCTGCCGCGATTGGATCCTTTGGGCCACATCACAAAACACGAAGATGTGTGCCCAGCAAGCATTTGCGTGGTGTTTGTTCAAGCAAATAACTTTGGTTTTAGCCACATGTCGAAATACCAAAGAGCTTTCCATGCTCCCCGGTCCCGCCCGGCTCGGAGAAAGCACAAGTCTTCCCTTGTTTTGCTAGGTGACATTCAGGGCAGCCTTTGGGCACGCACCCTCCCCAACCGAAAACTGATGGCCGAGGCGCGGCAAGCCATAGCGCAAAACCGCGGAGACCCATCCATGCCTCGGGCCAAGTCCCCACACGAAAACACGCCGCGCAGAGTGGCCGCTGTCGAGCGACTTTGGGTTCAAGGCCCTTGCAACTTGAGAAAAGCAAACGCACGCCGAAGCGCAAGTAAAACTTGTTTGTTGAACCCAGGAATCCACGACTCACAAGTTGCACCTGCACAGGGCCCCTCCCAGAACCGCTCGGGGTGGGATGCCAACAGCGGCCAAATCACCCAGCTGCTCGTAGCAAAGGGCTCAAGTGCTTCGACTCAACTCGTGGCCTCTCCCCGTGTCATTAACTAAGCCTAGGTTGCCAAAGCCCCTATAGGCCCTATAACTGTGTTGTGTGGCTAGCAGCTGAGGTCGCAAAGCCCCGGTCAAGGTCACTCGATTGTCCAGAGCCAAGTGAGTCGTGTTTTTGTTGTTCCCTTTTGATTTGCATTGACGTATCAAACCCTTGCGGGAAACCTTCCGCGAAGATTCCACTGTGTGAAGGGTACCTTCCGCGAGCATGTTTCTATATAAGTTTATAAAAGTGCTTCCGCGGGCCTTCCGCAGGCAAGTTGCTTCTGCAAACTGAGAAAGGTAGCTTACTAGCCGTGCTTGGCAACAACCACCCAAACGAAACCAAGATAAACCAAGCTGCTATGCGCAAATCAACAACGTCCCTTCCGCGAGCTTCCGCGAAAGAAAAAAAGAAAAGAAAAGCAGGAGAAGAAAAAAAAGAAAAGAAGAAGGGGAAAAAAAGAAAAAAAACTTCCGCGAACCTTCTGCGAACCTTCCGCGGCTGCAGTGCGGCGCTACCTTGTTTGTTGATATGTTCACATCTATACATGTTTGGTTGCGCGGCAGGAAAACAAAACACACCACTCAAGTGTCGGGGTGTTCATTGACTGGCTGGTGATGGGAAATCCGTTGGTAAGCGGGTAAGTGCTGCTCGTTTGCCATCCGCTCTTTAAGCCCGCCGAATTAAAACTGCCAACGTTCACCTGGCGCTTTCGTCGGGGCTTTTTGCTGTACAAATCGCCCTGGCTGCCAGTGACAAAGTTAAAAAAGTGCGTGAAAAGGGGGGTTCCCCATCATGAATTTCGTTAGGGAAACCAAAGACCCTCCCTCCCCCCGCCCGAACAGGAAATGTCCTCACAACCTTCTTAGAAGCTTACGCCCAGGTGGTTCATCCTTTCAAGGTCAAGATTGCACTTCATTCACACTGGCAGACACGCTGACCCGGCAGCAAAGTACTCACATGGCCTACCAGACTAAGAAAGCCCAAGATGCAGGTGCGCACGCACGAAAACAAAGACTTGGCGTTCACCACAAAGAAGCCCCCAGCAATAACTTGCGTGCTCTTCCTCGGCCCCTCTTAGAAGGGCTTCTTAACGAAGAAGTGGACTTGGTTCTTGCCCAGCTCCCTATGCATCAACCAACCACCCAGCCCCGCAGTTCGAACGACGTTTCTGTGGGGCCCCGCCCGCAGGTCTCCTTCAACATCTCCCCCTGGCCCAGCGTGGTGGTCCCCACGCACGCGGAGTGCATCGCCCGGGCCGACATGCAGGCCTCGAGAGGCCAAGGACGCGCCTGCGCCTCTGATCTGAAGTCGGGGCTCAACATCAACCAGTTCCGCAGGTAAGCCCAAGCACCTCTCCACCCCGAACCCCTTTTTTCATGCCCCCTTCAAAGGTCGCCCCGTCCAAAGCAAACCCAATCAAATTTGGCAACAAATCGATCAAAGCAAAAAGCTGTGTCGTTTTGCAGGAAACATGCAGTGACAGTGCAGTGACTTCACCCACCCCTTTGCCCTGAGCCCATCCCCATAGCCCATGGCAAACTGCAAAAAGGACAAAGGCCCTCCCCCCACAAGGGTGGAGATACAACTGCTACCTCCCCAGAAAGCTTCGCATCTCCCAACTGAGCAGGGGGCCGTCTGCCAATCTGGCTTTCGGCAAGCTCTGGGGGCCCTGCATCTGCGGCCACCTGACAGCCCCGCAGCAGTTTCCTCAGCAAAGTGCGGAAATTTTGGAAAAGGATGACCCAAAGGCAAACCCCGAAGATGTGTAGCGTGGGTCTGGTTCTTTTTTGAGTCTACCCCTTTTTGTGGCTGCAAAGGACCTATTGGTTTGTGGTTTTAGGGGGTTTTCGGGTTGGATTGGCTGATTTAGGGTTGTTTCGCCTCCCCCCCCCCCCCCCCGCGCCCCCGCCTGCCCTGATCCTGTGGTTGGGTTGTGGTGTAGGGTTGGTTTAGGGTTGGTGTGGTTGCTTTAGGATTGATTTAGGGTCGGCTTGGTGTGGTTTAGGGTTGGTTTGGGTGGTGGTTTGGTATACGTGAGTTTAGGCTTCCTTCTGCTCAAGTTAGGACTGATTCAGTGGTTTGGGGTTGGAGGAGGGTTGGATTGCTCAAGGCAGGAGCCCCCTGGAAGAGACCATTGGGGGGGGGAACACGTGGCACGGTACCTTTTTTTGTATAATATAGCACACAGAAAACCATAGAATGAAGACCAAACAATTGACAAACCATAGAAGGCCAAACAGTCGCCAAAGTTTCCAGGGCGAACCAAAGTGCCAGCCGAGTTTCCAGGTGGCCCGCAGTGCGGTCGCCGCCGCGCGGTCCGCCACCAGCACCGCGTCCCCGCCACCACCTCCGATAGAGCCACACCTTGGAGGAGCACCAAGCAAGTGGTGTTCTGTTTGGTCGGCCCGCCCAACATGTGGTTGTTCTTTCTGGGTTTCCCTCAAAACCTCAAAAAAGGGGTACCCTCAAAAACCATCCAATTTGGATGTGTCAATCAACTTAGCATCAGCTTCCCCGCAGTTGGTGGTTTGGGTTGGTGGTTTGGGGGCTAAGGGTGTCTTCACATTTTGGGGGCTAGGGGTGTCTTCTCATATACCCTTTGAAAGAGCAGTGGTTCAAGCCTCCAAACCACCCATTCAAACCAACTAAGGGCTTAGTCTCACCATGGATAAAACTAACTCGATAAACTGCACTTGATCCCCTTACAACCACGGTTACAACCTGCTTGGCCATGATCTTTTACAGTATGGGGAACCACCTCAACATAGGTTGAAAGACTTGTTGCAGTTCCCCACCGTTATTTTGTGCCATTGGGGGGGGGAACCTTGAATGAACCTATGAACCATTCCGTATGAACCATTGCTTCCCAACCCCCATGAACCATCCCCTGTGGCTGGAAGGGACAAAGCTGCCGAGAGCTTTGGGCCGGCGGCCATCCGAAGCAAGCAGCGCTTTGGCCCTGTTTGCAAAACGGCCTAAAATCACAGGCGGAAGCCTTTCGAAGAAAAGGCCATCCCTCTCGCGCACAACCTCGTCCCGGGCTACCAGGCACGGAGGGCACGGTGATGTTCACCAGCGCCAAGGCGTCCGCCATCCCTTGGGATGAGCCGCAACAAATTGACGCACCCTCAGCCCAAGCTTCCTCTCTCTTGGTTACTCAAGGTCTTGTGCTTGTTGCTGCTGCTGCTCCTGCTGACGTTGTTGTTGTTGCTAGTTCTGCTGCTGTTGTTCTTGATCGTGTTCATGCTCTTGATTGTTTCTTGTTATTGTTGTTGTTGGTGGTTGGTTGTTGGTTGTTGGTTATTGGTTGCTGGTTGTCGTGGTTGCTGGTCTTGTTGTTATTGTTCTTGTTCTTGTTCTTGTTCTTGTTCTTGCTGTTGTTGTCGGTGGTGGTGATGTGGTGGTGGTATGGTGGTATGGTGGTATGGTGGTGTTGTGGTTGCTGTGATTGTTGTGTGGTTGTGGTTGTCGTTGGGGTTGTGGTTGTTGTTGTTGCTGCTGTTGTTGTCGTCATCGTCGTCGTTGGGGTTGTTGCTATTGTTGTTGTCGTCGTCGTCGTTGTTGGTGGTGGTGGTGTGGTTGTTGTGGTTGTTGTGGTTGTTGCGCTTGGTGTGGTGGTTGTGGTTGTGGTTGTGGTTGTGGTTGTGGTTGTGGTTGTGGTTGTGGTTGCTGTTGCTGTTGCTGTTGCTGTTGTTGTTGTTGGTGGTGGTGGTGGTGACGGCGTTGTGGTTGTGGTTGTGGTTGTGGTTGTGGTTCTGGTTGCGGTTGCGGTTGCGGTTGCGGTTGCGGCTGCGGCTGCGGCTGCGGCTGCGGCTGCGGCTGCGGCTGCGGCTGCGACTGCGGTTGCGGTTGCGGTTGTGGGTATGGTTGCGGTTGTGGTTGTGGTTGCCGTTGCGGTTGTGGTTGTGTTGTTGCTGTTGCTGTTGCTGTTGCTGCTGCTGTTGCTGTCGCTGTCGCTGTTGCTGTTGCTGTTGTTGTTGCTGTTGCCGTTGCGGTTGTGGTTGTGTTGTTGCTGTTGCTGTTGCTGTTGCTGTTGCTGTTGCTGTCGCTGTCGCTGTTGCTGTTGCTGTTGTTGTTGCTGTTGCTGTTGCTGTTGTTGCTGTCGTGGCTGTTGTTGTTGCGGTTGTGGTTGTGGTTGTGGTTTGGTTGTGGTTGTGGTTGTGGTTGTGGTTGTGGTTGTCGTTGTGGTTGTGGTTGTGGTTGCGGTTGCGGTTGTGGTTGTGGTTGTGGTTGTGGTTGTGGCTGTGGTTGTTGCTGTTGTGGTTGTGGTTGTGGTTGTGGTTGTGGTTGTGGTTGCGGTTGCGGTTGCGGTGGCGGTCGCGGTGGTTGTCATTGTCGTTGTCGTTGTCGTTGTCATTGTCACGGTCGCAGTCGTTGTCGTTGTCGTTGTCGTGGTCGTTGTCGTTACTGTTGCTGTTGCTGCTGCTGTTGCTGTTGCTGTTGCTGTTGGTGTTGTTGTTGGTGTTGGTGGTGTTGGTGTTGGTGCTGTTGTTGGTGCTGTTGTAGTTGTTGCAGTTTTTTAATGTGGTTGTGGTTGTTGTTGCTGATGTTGTTGTTGCTGCTGCTGCTGCTGCTATTGTTGTTGTTGCCGCTGCTGCTGCTGCTGCTGCTGCTGCTGCTGCTGCTGCTGCTGCTGCTGTTCT